ATGTCGCCGATAGGGTTATATTCAGGAATTAATACATGGCTTTATAGTCTTTATGCTCGAACGCATATTCGTTCTCTTTCCGATACATTGGCGTATATGGGAAATTTAAGTATAAATACCCGGGTTTTTTGTGGGCAAAAGGATTAACTTTTTCTTCTTCACCGAGTCAAGTTAACAAGAATACGCAAATATCCATGTCCCACTACGGTGACTCCTTTTTCTTTATATTCGTCAAATATAATTAAAAAGAGATATCGCTACCCTTACGGTAGTCGTGTTCTTGTTATATTTTGAGAACGGAAATAAAAGATATCGACGGAGTAGAGAAATTAGGTTCTATAAACGACGGCTTCTGCATAGGTATCCAGTTGTCCTTAGGACGACCACCTTTTTCTTATATTTTATATATAAATAAAAGGAGATATTAGTCAGGTTGACCAAGCAGATACACGTTGAATAGAACCGGATTTCGCTCCTAGAACTGTTTTGTAAAGTTGTATCTACCGAGCGACTAAAATATTGGCGTAACTAATACTGGTGATACCTCGCTAGTCTAGTTAAACGCCGGATATTTTATATCTCCGATTCAACATTATAAAATGTTACTAAATGATTAAAGGTACTACTCCAGGCGACGTTCGTAGTGGATTTCGTCACCCTTCTGGCTGACCCGATGAACTTACGCCCGGTAGACCTTTTGTCAGCGGTATACTTTTCTTTCTGTAAGGTTTCTTTTACGTAGAATTAAAACGATAATCGCACTATTAAAGTAATCAAACTAGTAATTATTATTCAGATATTCCGAGGGAGAATTTAGACAAACATTAATAGGTCACAGGTATCACTTTATTACTTTTATATTCATTAGCGGGAGAATTCGCGTCTGTGTGTTATTGTCATATTGTTGGTATTCATTGGTAAACGTTTATTGTGGTAAAAAATTGTAGGGTTTTTATATTGTGCTAAATTATGTTATTTAGAGAATCGATAGTGATGTTGTTGTCATAAATATTAATTGTTCTAAAGTCGGTCAATGCTCTCAAGCAATAAATTAAGTCATTTAGATTTATGGCCAAAGGGCCGAGTTGTAAAGTTTCGGTTGTCTGTAAGCAGTACCTGCCCCTTTCCGTAAAGATAAAAAAGCACTTTCGATTTTACTTTAAATGGCAAACAGATGTAGATTAGTAGGGTAAACGCCTTGATTTGTATATATTTTACAGTTAGATTGCGGTTAAAAAATATGTTTTCTGTCGTTCTTTGTAAAACAAAATTGGGTAGACAAATGTGTCATTTTAGCCGTACGGAATTTTAGTTGTGTATCGAATTTTCGGGAAAAAGGAGATATGTACAGCGGCGGGTAGAATCATGAATATTGAGGGGGGTCGTATTTATTTGTACATATCCACATATCTTTAGCGGGACATTACGCGGAAGTAGTCGGTATGTTTGTTATTTATTTAGAATAAATAGGTGAAATTGTGTTTGTGGACTAGCTAACGTATCCTCAGAACTGTGATTAATAACACTGATTTGTCAATCGACAGAGCAAAAGAGCATCGTGCCAAAAAAGACGCCTTAGGCCACCATAGACCGCCAGGGACCTCAATAGTCAGGGCCTAAAAATGGTATTTCCCTTGCGGCTATGTAAATTAAAGCCTGATAGAGGCTTGGATGGATCTCTACTGAGATACCCCAAAAGTGGGCCTGACGGGCATCCCCCTTTATATCAGGTGTTCTCCGATCGACCGTTTAGTGTTGTTCATACAGGACTGAGTATGTCGGTAAATTACGGCATTGGAATATTAGGGAAAGGCGTGACGCACGGTGAGATAAATCTACACTCCGGTTTTTACACATATTAGAAATAATAAATTTAACCGACTTCAAAAAGGAAGAGGTTCTCAATTCGACGCAATATTTTATATCTCACAACACTCCTCGTGCTACCGTTGTACTCTCTTTTATTAGACAATGCGTAATTCACTAGTTCCGTGGAAACGTGTGATTGTATATTAGGAGACACAAACATACCAAAGTACTTCTGACTTTTATTTTACCCTTTTATGGGAACTAAAAGCTCTGAGGTTAGAAATGACACATTAGAAAGCCTACATAAACAGAATGTTAAGCCTAAAAATGGCACATAATCTAAATGTTCGGCTGTACAAAAGAATAGATGTTAAATAAACAGTATTCAAAATTAATCTCGGTGTTTCCTTTGTTCTTCCTCCATTACAGCTACATTGAACTCTAAAAGAAATTCTGGGGGTTTTAACATCACTTCGTGGGGATCTACTAGACGAAATTTAGGCCAAGGTTATAAGTATTTGCAAAACTAGGTCAGGGTCCGGTTTGTCAAGTTACAGTGATAATGCAAGAAGAGTTGATCACCATGAGCACAGACGAGGAGCTTAAGCAGAAGTTCAACCAAGGCTATCAGAAGTTCTCGTAACATTGAAACACAGTATCCTGTATTGTGGAACATTGATACAAAATACCTTTTTGCTTTTCCATTATCATACCTAGTCGAAAAAGGCTTTAGTGTAGTTACAAACATTCATACAAAACAAAGGAACCGTTTGAAAATCAACGAACACGGATATTTAAGGCTATAACTCACCAATATTGAACCAGATTTAGCTGGGTTGGTAGGAAATCACCAGGTTCATCCATCACACTGAATTTTTACCTTTACTTTTTTTTTTTTTTTTTTTTTTTTTTTTTTTTTTTTTTTTTTTCAAAAAATAATTTCCTACTTAAGTATTTTTACGTAATTTGTATTAATAATTACACTTGATATTTACTAAATTTTATATCTATTTATTTTGTTAACCAACCTCAAAGTTTTTTTGTATCCATAGGAAAAAACTAGAGATAGAATTTTTAAAGTAATTTGGCTATGAGGATCTGAGGTATCGGTACATTTTAGAAAAGAGGTCTTTTGCCAAAAATAGTTCGGGAATCCTTGCTGAGTCTAGAGCATAGGTTCCCAAACTTTATTGGCCAATTACCCACATTTCGAAAAAAAACTTTTCATCGAGTACTTTTGAGAATTTTCCTGAGAGCGACAGTTGTTTCTTAACGCCTTCCTAAATTTGCCTTGGATTAAAAATGGCCCCTTAACTCTCTTCATTGCATACCGGTGGGCGGTACCGCCTTCGTTGGGAACCATTACTCTGGAAGGTAAACTATAAGTACTAGGGTGGTACTCTCCTGGATTTTTTTGACACAAATATCTTCTAGATGAAGACTGTACAAGAATTGTTCATTTCAAATTAGCCGTATACGCACCGTTCTCAAAAAAAAAACATTTTTTTAAATCCCCTGAAAAAATGCAATCTTTATAGCCCGGGAGCAATTCAATCAGTGAGTTTGAAAATCGCACAAATCCAAAATTTGTTTAAAATTTGTCTCTTCATTGATTGAGCTTAAAAACTATACTAAATACCTAGCCGTTAACGTAGCACAGCTAATTGGATCCGTGAAATCAGGAGAAAAACTGTACATGTCCGTGACTCATACGGTTTAACAACAACATAATGGTCACTTGCTATAGTCAGTTGGATAACCACAAATGCTGAAAATGATGATTAGATGACCGAGATAACAGTTATGATATTGTATTTGTCCTCCTTTTTGAATAAATATTAAATAAATCAAAAAAATGTTCACTTGTTTCTTTTTAGTATATAGAGTTGAGTTCAAAAACCGTACAAGTCCGTACTCCATTTGTATCTGCCATTGGTAGTCCATATTCTTTTCTGAAAAACTACCATTAAAAATACATTGCAAAACACTAGATTTAAAACTTTTCTATGCATGAAAATAATCTATGTGAAGTAGTTTCAACGTTAACAAGTTTTTATATTTTTTCTCTGAAAGCTGATTTTGGACATGTACAGTTTTCGAACTCACCGATTCAATTGACAATGTTTAGTTGTATTCTAATTTTTCACAGATAATTCTACTCTACAAGTACCTATTTTTTAGTTAATTTGTAGTTTGTTATTTTTTGATTGATTTTTATGTTGGCAATTTCGATTGGGTTAGCGATCCAAATTAAGGAAATTATTTTTTTAATTTTTAAGGATTCTAGCGTAATTGGTGATATCCAGCATAAATAGTTCTTTTAGTCGACTTATATTTGTTTTTTTAAATTTTTCTCATTTATTTACACATTTACAATTTTATTGTAGATAAGCACTGATGATGGCTTGAAACCAAAAGAGTTTACAAAATGTTTTTCTATTCTTTTTAATATAATTTGCACAATTTGCAAATTTTTTATTACTAACAATATCCAGTTTTTATTTGCTCAAAACATTATTACTGGTTATATTAGAGATAATTTATTTTAATTAGTATCATTAATAAAATTATTTATTCTTTTTATTTTTAAATGTATGGTTAACGCGCGAGAATTATTTTTAATGTTCTAATATTTTTTATAATATACACAAAAACAACACCGTAAACTACAAAATAACTTCTTTTTCAAGTTTTTATTAGGTTTACAAATTATTTTTTGTTATGGTAAATAAACTCGTTGGCTCATTGGGATCTTAAAAACATGTTTACATTCTGATATACTTAATATTCATCATTAAATATCACGTTTTTTACTAAATGGTCATGTTTTTTAACAATAATTTTATTTCAAATTGATAGTTTCATCCAATGTAAAGAATGTTTTCGAAAAAATCTTAATTTAGAGGATTTAAGGTTCATTAAATTTTTTCATTTACAAACATTCCTGTTAAACGGTATTCAGCAGTCAGTTTATAGAATCATAAATTTCTAAAATGTCCATTAATAAATCTATTTTTCTTCGAGATAAGTCGAATTTTATTGTATTATAACCATGGGTGCCGTTCAAAAAATTGCAAATCCAAGGGGTAGACGACCCCTTTGCTCTCGTGTGGCGGCGTCCACGACCATAACATTATATTCTTATAGATTTTTAATATTTTAAATTTAACTGTATTGTATGTTTGTTTCAGAACAAAAAATCATTTTAAAAAATGTCAGCGGAAGGATACGACCTGGGGAACTATGCGCCATCATGGGTCCATCAGGAGCAGGAAAATCCACATTGCTCAACATACTCACAGGATACAAGTAAGATTTTATTCTTTTTAAAAAACCATTTGTACCTATTCTATTCAATTTAATAATAATAATGAACAAAAACGAACAAATAGATAAGAAAACTAGACGTCAAATAAACACCAAACTTATGGTTATCAATTATTTTTCAGTATTTTACTACTCTAAAGGCAATTAAAAAAATTGTTGTTGTTCATTTAACCGTGCCTTCTAGATAAGCATGTAGTCATCATCTGTCCTCTAAAACTGATAAGAGTGATAAGGAATCGTTCCAAGGTAATCAAATGAATGTGTCAAGGGCATATTGGGTTTTTCGCCATCTTTTAGATACAGGTGCACTTATGTGACGTAAAAAATGGACCTAACAAAGTTGTTTATCGACTAAAATCTTTGGTTTAAAAATTTTAGAAATAAATAAAAATTAGTGTATTTATTGAAAAAAAAAAAATAAATTAATTCAATTTGAATTATTAGTTAAGATAATCTTCTAGAAATACGGGGATAAAGCAAACATTTACAAATTTTCATTAGGTTTTTATTAATTAATTAAATTAAGGCTGAGCAATGATTCAAAATATATTTTCTTGTGTTAGCTTCCAGTATTTATTACATAAATATTTGCTAGACACCCCCTGTAGTATTTTTGGATACGGTGCTGACATAAGATATTCTAATATTTGGATGAGTGGACAGACGCAGTTTTAACAATCAAGAAAGGGAAATATAGACCAGTATTGAGACATTCATGATTAGCTGTTCAATCATTATTGATTAATAAAGTTTACTTTTGTAAAGTGAATTTCTATTACCCCTTAGCTAATACTTGGTCTTTTTAAAGTCAGATTTTCTGTCGTCAAACGACTATTCAAACATAGAGACGAAAAAGAACACACTTATAACGATATTAGAAATACAATTTTTATATCAACCATTCGGTACACTACTAACTATAAAATAAATACAAAATCCTTAAATAGCAAGATATCTAAATATAGTTTTTAGTTCTTTAAAGTCAAGTGTTTCCGCGGATAAATATTACTGTATCAAACCAACAAAAACGAGATTTAAAATGCAATATTTATACCAAAGATTCAATAAACAAGTATCAATAAAAAATAAATAATAAATCATCAAATAGCAAAACTTCTAAATAAATTTTTTGTCTTTAAAAATGCGCGGTTTCGCGGAAAAACATTACTCTATCAAAATATCAAAAACCAATATTTAGCTCGAAAATATAGCTTAAATCATTACATAGCAAGACGTTGTATGCTAGTTCGTCTGCCAGCTCCAGCCTCATATAAATTAGTGTCTGAAACTCTACGGGAAAACTCATAACATAAAAGTAACGAATTGATTTTTAATGAAAGACCGAATGGCGATGAATTTACAGGTTTGCGAAGCATTAGTCTTAAATCACGTAAAAGTTCTTCACATTGCTAGTTTTCAAAAAACATTCCTTTGGATTAGAATTTAGAAATTGTTTCAACTTACAGCCAGTCCATATAAAAATATTTGAACCCTTTTTGTTCCTAGGTTCTTTTGACAACACTGAAGCCTAATAGCCTATTGTATTTGACCAATATTAATTCATAATATCCACTCTTCCACCTTAGTCCCTTGTACAAGTTTGTACAAATTCTTGACGAGGTGTGTTCCATAGAAGGTCTTGGATCAATCTGTGATTGTCCAAAAAGTACCTGTCTTTTGCGATACATAGTGTGTGTTTGGCTGTTTCTAGTTCCTTGTGATACAATCAACACAATATGTCTCCATTATACACGCCTATTTTGTTCAGGTCTCCCTTTATTGGAGCATATCCAGTCATGTTATTGTTTACAACTGGTTTCTATTCATGGAGAGCAGTTCTCCTGTTCTTTTTGAACATGATCTTTCTATAAACATCTTCTTAAGTGGTTGTTTTGGAGTATTCTCTCAATAGTTGTACCATTTATCTCTTAAAAATCATATATAAACACTTTTCCTATTTTGTAGTTCGTTAAAATGATCAATTTGACAGCCCCACGTTGGGCGCCATATTTATCATATTATTATGATACTTTTTTATTTTAGAACCGATGGGGTAAAAGGTCACGTCTTGATGAACGATAGTGATAGAGATTTGAGCCAATTTCGAAAACTCTCGGCTTACATAATGCAAGACAATCAATTACATGCCAATCTTACCGTAGACGAAGCGATGGCTGTTGCCGCCAAACTCAAAATTGGTCAAAGTATAGTCAGCGATCGACAAGCAATTGTAAGTATTAATACACACAATATTAGTTCTGTAGTACCCATTTTCGGTTAATTTATTAGTTACATCTAGAATTCCGCCGGCCTCGGCTATAAAAAAAAATGATTTTACTAGGTAATCAGGAACTTTAAAAATATGAATATACAATAAAAATGTCAAAATCTATATTAGACAAGTTCAATGATATTTATAATAAAAGTACTCCCACACTTGTACACAATACGATTTCTGACTGACTTTTCAGGATGTTGTGTTTATGAAAGAAGGAAATGAACAAATATCTAGTAGAGATAAAAAAATATTGCGATTTAAAACCATTAAAATTTATCTACAAATCTTTATTGTTATTGCTTATCAAATTAGTTTTTATTGTTTGTAGTTGTAAATAAATACAAAACACGGATAAAAAAATAAGCCTTGACTTTCTCTTGCATCAAAATCGTTAAAATTAAGCATTTCATCTTTTTAAATTCTATTTAATTATTAAAAATCAAGACTACAGTCTTGATTTTACTATTTACAATAGTTTAAAAAATTAGCTGAAGAATACATGTAAATATTGACTTAAGTGTAAACGGTATACTTTTTTATTTCTCTTAATGATGATTTTTTAAAAAAAATTTCAACAGTTTTACAATTTGTCTTTCTTCGCTACGAATAATTTTTCTTTTTCAGGAGACATGGGTTTATTTAATTATTTATATAAAACACAACTTATTAACAAACTGATATCTCAAAATACTTTAAAATCGTAAAAAAAACTTTCAAACACATCCACAAACTCCAAAAACAAAAAGATCGCCACTATCCTTTACTAAATGTGCTTGTTTTGGGACATTCTCCCAATAGTTGTACCCTTGACCTCTTAAAACCTATCTATGTAAAAATAATAATTGGTACCTTTTCCTATTTGATCCTACTATCAAATTCAAATAAGTTCCATTTTGTGATTCGTTAAAACTCGTGCAAAAATCATTATTACCTGACCATCCTGTATATTCGTGTAAGATCCACTTTTATTTGGTATTAAAATTATTTTTTCACTTATTACATCATATTTTCATTCAAAATATGTTTAAAAAAATCTATTTTTGAGTTTAACATTGACAGTAATATACAAGGTGTTTTGTACTTGAAGTGGTTATATTTCTGCTATTATCGTGTTCCCAAATACCTGTCGTTTACTAGATATAGGGTATTTTCGTTCAATAATTATTTTAATTTGAAATAAATGTAGGATCTTACGCGAATATACAGTGATTTTTGCACGAGTTGTAACGAACCACAAAATGGAACTCGTATAAATTCGATATTAGAATCAAATAGAAAAAGGAACCAAATATATGTTTTACATGAATAGGTACAATTAATTATTGGGAGAATGTCCAAAAACAAACACATAGGAAAACAAATTAAAATTTGATTTCTACGCATGTTGTCATCTACGAAGCCCTTATACTTTTCTCTAATGGAACGGACTTGTGACGACCATTTTTTTTTTTATTTTTTAGATAAATGAAATCTTAGACACACTCGGTCTACTGGACCACAGAAGAACGATGACCAGTGGACTGTCGGGTGGTCAAAAGAAAAGACTATCAATCGCCCTAGAACTCGTAAGCAATCCCCCAGTAATGTTTTTCGACGAGCCCACCAGTGGTTTGGATTCCTCTTCTTGCTTCCAATGCATATCTTTACTGAAGACTCTAGCGAAAGGTAAACGAACTACTAATGACAATTCACTACTCTAGTTGTTAAGAAATGATATTTTTCTATTAAAACTGTCTCTGAAACATTTTTAATTCATACATTTTTCGTACCTATTTAAGTTTTGAATTGTATTTAATAATATTTAATATTTGCAGCGGTCAAAATGTTTCCGGCAAAAATTAGAATGCGGCAGCGAATATTTTGTTTACAAATTCAGCGAGTGACGTGAATAAAAATGAAATGGCGTCAGTGGAATTATTTTTAAACGTTCCAAATCAAATTTAACAGTATAGACATTTACAGGATGATATCTGTGATATTAAAGATATAAAGGAATAGTTTATTTATGCAACCAGTTGCGAAATGTCTTATATTATGTAACAAGTTAAAAATTAACCGATTTGTTTAACAAACTTTATTTTTCTGACGCTAAAAACTTTCCAATTGATGTTAAAAGCAAGAAAGAAGGTTCATTTTTATTTATTTTCTTTTCGCAACTAGTGATATAATGAATTTTTTCGTAACCAGTTTCATAACTTTCAATTTTATATAACTGGTTGAATAAAGTAGATGGTTTTGACACTTACTGCGATTACACTTTATATGTCAAAACGTTTACCAAACGACAGGCAGCGTTAAACTCTGTATTTTTAAAGCAGTAATTTCTTTCTTGAAAACTATGTTTTTTTTATTGGATCATCTTGTATTTTATATTCAAATTAACCTCACTTTTTCCATTATAAGCAAAACGAAATAGTATTGAATTGTACAGGGTATTTTACTTGTTATAGCCACTTTGTTATGAAAATCGTATTGATTTCAATAACTTGCACAAGAAACCATTAAAAAGCAATTTTTTGCGGTAAACTTTTTCGTTGTTAGTCAAATTTTATGCAACAAATGTGTACAGGGTGAGTCAAATCTCAAATACTTTATTTTCTGTTTAATTTTTTTAATTTAGCACCCTGTATAACTAACTAAACAGAACTTGATATCAAACCTTGGGGTTCCACTATTCAGAAATAAAAACTACGTCGCGAACAAATTTTTTGAGTGCCACTTGTAATGAATTATCAAAATTTTGTTTACAATATAATGATGTTTGATTGCCACTTGTACTATTTACAGATAATTTGTAACCTTGAAAAAACTACTTTATTTTAAGTGTTTATAATTATTAAAAATTTGGATTTCGTGTAAAAGAATATAAAAATCTGATGTATCCAGCACATGATTCTCCTGTTCAGTTATTACAGGCTTTTTCCGGTTATTTTGTTTAACTGGTTGTATGACCCCTGTAAATGTTTAGATTATGAACTAAATACATTTTCCACACATATCTTACTCAAAACATTTTTTTATGTATATACATTGCCAATGAAAATATTGAAAGATTTAAATTTTAAGCTTTTCCTCAATTTTTTCCATTACGGTCCATTTTAGCGAAATCATGTATAGAACAAAAATTAAAATAATATTAGAAGCAACTTTTATTTGATTTTTTTTTTTCTCCAAGCGTAAATAACAGATATATTTCATTAAAGTAGAAAAACAACCCCATACAAAGTCCTTCAATTGTTCCGAATATGGACAAAATTCAAATCTGTTCACCGATGTTCACCGCAGGATGGATTAAAGCTTGATTTAAAATTTGGTACTTCTTTTTTTTAATTTTTGAGTTATTTTTAAAATTCAGAATTTGATTTTTTTCCTAAATGTCTCGAATACGGTTCATTTTAAAAAAAAATTATGTATAAAACAAGAATTATAAGGATCTTTTATTTGAACAATTTCTTACAAATTAAAATTTTGTACTTTTTATTAAATTTCTCGAATACAGACCATTTTAGGAAAATTATGTAAAAGACAAAAATTACAGAGAATAATATTACAAGCAACTTTTATTTCAAGAATTTTCTTCTCCAAGCGTAAATAACACATATATTCCCTAAAGTCATTTTTATTCTGGTAGATATGTGGTCATATTTCTGTATTTCTTAACAAGGGCGGAAAATACATCTCATCGAAACCGTCCATTTTGTTTGATACACTATTTATTTGTCATTTTTCCAATATAGAAATTAGCTAAATTATTTTTCTTATGCTACAATTTTAAATTTCCAGGTGGAAGAACCATAATTTGTACGATTCATCAACCTTCTGCCAGATTATTTGAAATGTTTGACCAACTATATACTCTTGCCGACGGACAGTGTGTTTACCAAGGATCTACCAGACAGCTAGTACCGTGGCTGGGACACTTAGGACTACAGTGTCCCTCCTATCACAACCCGGCTTCATATATCATTGAAGTGGCGTGTGGGGAATATGGAGATCACACGAGAAAACTGGTATGCGCTATAGACAACGGTGAGTTTATTTTCGATAAATTTGTACGCTACATTGCCTACAATTTTTTTTAATATTATAGGTAAACATGATATTCGCGACGATAAAGCGTTCCCGGAAGTAAAAATTAACGATGGTATTAACAACGCTTACCAATATGCCAAGGATAATATGAACAGTCTCATAAACGAAGAATTAGCCAAAGAGTCGAATAGTTTCAAAGATAACAATTACAAAGCGAAAGCTAACGGCAAAAATGAACATATCGATGATACCGTGAAGGACGTAGAGAAAGCCAACGTCAATAGTGCCTTATTAACAAATGTTGCTATGGTTAAACAGCCAAGATATGGAAATTCCGAAATGCAACAATTCTTCATTATTTTAAAACGTGCCTTGTTGTTTAGCAGACGAGATTGGGTGAGTAAATTCCGTTTTCTCTTCAGAACTCTGACGGTAGCAAAATCAAAGCTATTTGATTGGGTATTTAAATTATGGTCTTGGATGCCCTGCCAAAATGAAAGAGTATCTTCATCTGAAGCCTATAGTATAATATTTCTTAACTCACTTCCTGTCAATCTATCTCTATCCACTCACTTCTGATGTAGTCCTACAAAAAAGTCACTCTTCTATTTTGAATTACTTGATTCCGTTCTTCAAGATCACAATCTTCATTGTTTTGCAAGATCAATTCTTCTAAAATATTTATATCAGCGTCCGTAAATTAGAATTGGAATCATTTAGAATTATTATAAAGCATACTAGTGATTAATTTTTGCTATCTATCTACAATGTGTTGAAGATTTGCTTTGTTACAAAACGTAGTGCCCTTAAGGTTTTATTTAAGGAATTAATTTAATAGTCTCTTATTTAAAAAGTTTGTTTTATATTTTTTGTTTTACTCTTTTTTATAAAAGGTCTCAAAACCCCTGTAATCATTTTTTTTTATAGACATTGATGTACCTCCGATTGTTTGCACACATACTGGTAGGATTTCTAATCGGTGCCTTATATTTCAATATTGGTAATGAAGCGTCGAAAGTGCTTAGCAATTTGGGTTTCTTGTTCTTCAACATGTTGTTTTTGATGTACACTTCCATGACGATCACGATATTATCATTCCCGTTGGAGATGCCGGTGCTGTTAAAAGAACATTTCAATCGATGGTATTCGCTGAGATCGTACTATTTGGCCATTACGATATCTGATATGCCTTTTCAGGTAAGTCAAACAACTTAGTTCAATATTAAGACTTATTATTAAATAATATTGAACGTTTGTACATATTTTATTCAAAATAATGTTTGCTAGAGGTATAATAAATATAGTAAAATAAAATGTTCGTTTTTAGTACTCGTTCTGCTGTTTTAAATAGGATCTGACACTGTAATTTGATTTTTTACCTTTCTGAAGTCAAGAAAAGGTGTTTTCTAAGAAAACCTTCATTTATATGCTTATTTAGTCATTTAGATTTGTATTAAAAAAACTATTGATTATGCGCGCCCAAAAGCGACCAATAGAATATTATTACGCTGGTTTTTGGTATCACAATTTATGTTAACTAAACTTTAACAACAATTATACAACTGATACAATAACTCCTACTGATAACATTAACGTTTAACGTCTATCATCAAACTGCAAACTCTGACGTCAGGTCTTCGACTTATATAGCTTGCCTCGACCTTCTAAAACCTTCTCGAACAATCTGGACTTTTCTTTGACAAGGAATGACATTTCGAGACATTTCGGGAATATTCTATCTTCTTTATTTACTCGTACCTTTACTTATGACGACCGCAGCACGCTACAGGGTGCTTCGTAACAATATGCATAGATAGTTTTAGTGTTTAGTTATTGTATTATTGTTTTACGTAAATTTATAAATTGTTTCTTTATTTTTCAGACTATATTCTGTATAGTTTACGTCACAATAGTGTACTTTATGACATCCCAGCCGCTGGAATCTGAACGATTCGGAATGTTCTTGGTGTCCTGTTTGTTGGTTTCCTTTGTAGCGCAAAGTGTTGGACTGGTAGTGGGAGCTGCGATGAATGTACAGGTAATATAAATTTCAGTTTTCTGAAAAAACATTTCTCAATTTTAGTTGTATGTCCCCCACTGAGAAAAAAGTTATAATATATAAAACTTGTTTAAAATTTTACACTTTTCTCTGGAAGTGCGTTTTAAAAATGTCCTGTCACTTTCAGAACGGAGTATTCTTGGCGCCAGTAATGTCAGTGCCATTCCTCCTCTTCTCCGGGTTCTTCGTCTCATTCGACGCCATACCGATTTACCTGCGATGGATCACCTACCTGTCCTACATCAGATACGGTTTCGAAGGTACAGCATTGGCCACGTATGGTTTCGACAGACCTAAATTGAAATGTTATAACTACTGTCACTTCAAAGATCCCAAAACTACACTCGAAGAGCTAGATATGGATAAATCGAGCTTTGTCGTCGATATCGCCGCTTTAGTCGGCATATTTTTCTTCTTGCGGATATCGGCTTTCCTGTTTTTAAAATGGAAACTAAAATCCAATCATTAAGATTTTTTTTTAGGAAGTTGAATAGTTATTGATATTTTTATTCTAGTGATGTTAAAAAGGAAACTTCAAAGGGAAAGTGGCTTGTTTAAATTTCGGAAATATATTGGTTTTTACGATGATTGGCAGCTTCATGGCATTTATTTATGTAAAATTTTATATCAGAAAGATTAGCGATTATTTTATATTAGAATTAATTTTATTTTAAGCAAATTTAGATTTAGAATTAAACAGTCTTGCCTTAGTATCAATTGATAGTACGTTAAGAAGCTTGTTAATATTTATTTTTCTCTCTATTTCATTAATGAAAATTAAAGTAGCTACTTTTCGTTAAAAACTCCCTAAATTTCCTACATGACCTAAACAAATTTATTTTTGGTATATCTTTGATTTTTTATAAATATATTTTTGTTGTATTATGTTACCCAATGAGTTTCGCTTTAACAGCAAGAAGAGAAATTGAATATTACTTTATTATCGAGGGGATATGTTAAACAAATCCAGAATCTCTTTCGTGGAAAGCTTTACCTTATGACAAATAATTTCAATTTTTCTTCAACCAAGTATAATATCATTAAAACTAAGTCGATTTATATTTTTATATCAGTAATAAATGTTTACAAATAACCTGCAGTGCGTTGTGGTTTCTACAAAAGAATAGAGAAAAGAGAATTTCCGACTGATTTTTTATAAAATATCATTCCACACTCTCAGTTCCGAAATTGGGTAACGAATGTAGTAGTTCAAATTGACCACTTGTAAAAATGCCTGCATTGTTAAGGTAAATGCTATCTTGACCGATAGTTATAGATTTTTCTAACTGAATGCAAACTAAGTATAGGTTTATTCTGTACAAAATCAAATTTTTTATGTGATGGTGTAGTGATTTATATATTTTAGAAATATATTATATATACTTATTTAAAAATAGTTTGTTTTATTTTTCGATGCGAAAATAACAAAACGTGTTCGCTAATTGGTGCGCTAATCAAAGAGGTTGGCTCAAAAACTGTCAACCTCAAAGATAGCATCAAACTTCTGCTGTCAACACACTTCCGTGACTCTGTCATCACAGACGTGGCCGACTGGGCAGAGGAAGAATACAATCCATCTGTGTATGATTGAGAAACTGCCAAACACATTGTAGACGATGAAAAAATTAGATGGGCAATATCCAGCTTATCTCCATTTAAATCGACAGTACCTCACGGTATGTATCCAGCCCTACTTTAGTGGGGTCTGGAAGAACTCACACCGCACCTAGTGGGTATATTCAGATACTTGTTGGCTCTGAGGTATATCCCCAAAAAATGGAGAGAGGTAAAAGTGATATTTATATCTAAACCTGGAAGGATGGATTACACTGTCCCAAAAACATACCGATGACATCGTTTTCCATATCTCCGCTCCTAGACATAGAAACAAATTTTTCTTTTTACCATAAGTTGGGTACAAATACCACAAGCAGCTAACGACTTTTTGGCCACAAAATCGGTAATGACAGACCTAATTAAAGAACATTCCCTTGTGAAATTCAAGGAAAGATGGGATGAAACAAGAAACTGCAGAGTTGCCAGGGAGCTCTTAAGTTATCCTGACAACACTGCAGCAAACAAATATTTGACTGGTCATTGCCAAGTACGGAAGCATCTCCATATCATAGAGCTGTCAGAATCCGCACTCTGCAAAGGGTGCGAACAAGATGAGACCATCGAGCATATCCTTTACGATTGCTCGACGCTCTCATTTATTAAAATATTTGTGTTCGGCGAGTATCGGCTAACACCGGCCGATATAAGAGAAGCACCTCTTGGCGACATTGTCAACTACATTAAATATGTAGGCTGGCTCACGAGCATAATGAGGCCTAAGTGCTGTGGGGGTAACCCACCCTCCACACGTTACAGAATTAGACAGAAGACTGTGATAATAAAAGTGTGGGACTTCCTCTGCATTCGCCTTTCAAGGTGCATCATAAAGAGCGATAAGTAAAATACAAGGTAACTGTATGATATACGATTGAATAGGAATAATTTTTAAACATAGTTATTCCTATTAAAGTTGTCTTGGATTAAATTATATTACGATCCACGATCTGTACTAAACAGTGGATTGGTAGACTACTTCTAAAAGTATACTGTCGCCAAATCATTGATCACTGCAGAAAATTGTTCTGTGTTAAACAATACACTGTCAATTAGCAGCCGGCAGCAATATTGAAAGGGTATTTATCGAATTGAACCATCATGCCAATTTTTACTTTCCTATCTGTATACAGATATAAGGAAAGTGTAGGAATTATGATTCGTGCGTGCGTATGTGGATGTGTGTGTGTGTGTGCGCGCATGCGTACATGCGTGCGTTCGTATGTGGGTGTGTGTTTGCGTGCCTGCGTATGTGTGTGCGCTCGTGCGTGCATATGTGTGTGTGCGTGCGTATGTGTGTGTTTAAATTAAAATTACTTCTATTTTTATATATAATTTTTGTTATATGCCAAATTTTTCTGAAATGGTCCGTATTCGAGAAATTGGACAGAATGTGCAAAATTCGAATTTTTAAGAAAATTGTTAAACTAAAAGTTGTCTCAAAACGTAGAGCCGAACAGATAGATTAAAGTGCTCTTTGTCGTTTGTCTCTATCCTAAGCCGTTTAGGAGATATTTATTCAAGTTTATATATATACATACATACGTAAATTTTTTTAAACTTTTATCTTCCCAAAAAAAAGAAAAGGGTATAGCCTTCCAAATTTTTTGAGAAAAATTTTTTTTGTCTCCGATTCCAATGAAAATTTGGCTACATATCAAAGAGAACAATGCAAATTAAGGAGTGGATTCAGTTGCTTCTTATTGACAAGGGTTTTATTTTTTTTTTAATTTTCCTCAGTTATTAATAATCGAATCATTCTCAAAACGTAGAGCCGAACAGATAGATTAAAGTGCTCTTTGTCGTTTGTCTCTATCCTAAGCCGTTTAAGAGATATTCAAGTTTATAAATCCGTCGATTTTGCGTTACCCTAAATGGCAATGATAATTTGATGAAGAAACTTAATTTTGCGTTACCCCTGAATTTTATAGTAATTTGATTGAGGAACTTAAATATCTCCTCGCTCTTCTGCTATCCTGATACAAAAAAAATTTGTCAACGAAATTGCAACTTTTAGTAGTTTGAAACGGAAACCGAGTAAGTATGAAAAAATGTTATTTCTGTTCCGATCTTCATGACATTCGGCACTACGGTACAGTAAGCGATTTAAAATGTCTTGCTGGTGTCTGCGTCTCTCTATGTTGGATACTTTTTAAGAAATGAGCTCCAACTTTTTAATTAGTCTTGTTAGAGGGGATCAGAGTATCTTTTTGAGATCCTGACGTTCCATTCTATACGTACGTAAATTTTTTTAAACTTTTATCTTCCCAAAAAAAAGGAAAGGGTATAGCCTTCCAAATTTTTTGAGAAAAAATTTTTTTGTCTCCGCTTCCAATGAAAATTTGGCTACATATCAAAGAGAACAATGCAAATTAAGGAGTGGATTCAGTTGCTTCTTATTGACAAGGGTTTTATTTTTTTTTTAATTTTCCTCAGTTATTAATAATCGAATCATTCTCTAAACATGCTCAAAACGTAGAGCCGAACAGATAGATTAAAATGCTCTTTGTCGTTTGTCTCTATCCTAAACCGTTTAGGAGATATTCAAGTTTATAAATCCGTCGATTTTGCGTTACCCTAAATGGCAATGATAATTTGATGAAGAAACTTAATTTTGCGTTACCCTGAATTTTATAGTAATTTGAGGAACTTAAATATCTCCTCGCTCTTCTGCTATCCTGATACCAAAATTTTGTCAACGAAATTGCAACTGTTAGTAGTTTGAAACGGAAACCGAGTAAGTATGGAAAAATGTTATTTCTGTTCCGATCTTCATGAAATTCGGCACTACGGTACAGTAAACGATTTAAAATGTCTTGCTGGTGTCTGCGTCTCTCTATGTTGGATACTTTTTAAGAAATGAGCTCCAACTTTTTAATTAGTGTTGTTAGAGGGGAACAGAGTATCTTTTTGAGATCCTGACGTTCCATTCTATACGTACGTAAATTTTTTTAAACTTTTATCTTCCCAAAAAAAAAGGAAAGGGTATAGCCTTCCAAATTTTTTGAGAAAAAATTTTTTTGTCTCCGCTTCCAATGAAAATTTGGCTACATATCAAAGAGAACAATGCAAATTAAGGAGTGGATTCAGTTGCTTCTTATTGACAAGGGTTTTATTTTTTTTTAATTTTCCTCAGTTATTAATAATCGAATCATTCTCTAAACATGCTCAAAACGTAGAGCCGAACAGATAGATTAAAATGCTCTTTGTCGTTTGTCTCTATCCTAAACCGTTTAGGAGATATTCAAGTTTATAAATCCGTCGATTTTGCGTTACCCTAAATGGCAATGATAATTTGATGAAGAAACTTAATTTTGCGTTACCCTGAATTTTATAGTAATTTGAGGAACTTAAATATCTCCTCGCTCTTCTGCTATCCTGATACCAAAATTTTGTCAACGAAATTGCAACTGTTAGTAGTTTGAAACGGAAACCGAGTAAGTATGAAAAAATGTTATTTCTGTTCCGATCTTCATGACATTCGGCACTACGGTACAGTAAGCGATTTAAAATGTCTTGCTGGTGTCTGCGTCTCTCTATGTTGGATACTTTTTAAGAAATGAGCTCCAACTTTTTAATTAGTCTTGTTAGAGGGGATCAGAGTATCTTTTTGAGATCCTGACGTTCCATTCTATACGTACGTAAATTTTTTTAAACTTTTATCTTCCCAAAAAAAAGGAAAGGGTATAGCCTTCCAAATTTTTTGAGAAAAAATTTTTTTGTCTCCGCTTCCAATGAAAATTTGGCTACATATCAAAGAGAACAATGCAAATTAAGGAGTGGATTCAGTTGCTTCTTATTGACAAGGGTTTTATTTTTTTTTTAATTTTCCTCAGTTATTAATAATCGAATCATTCTCTAAACATGCTCAAAACGTAGAGCCGAACAGATAGATTAAAATGCTCTTTGTCGTTTGTCTCTATCCTAAACCGTTTAGGAGATATTCAAGTTTATAAATCCGTCGATTTTGCGTTACCCTAAATGGCAATGATAATTTGATGAAGAAACTTAATTTTGCGTTACCCTGAATTTTATAGTAATTTGAGGAACTTAAATATCTCCTCGCTCTTCTGCTATCCTGATACCAAAATTTTGTCAACGAAATTGCAACTGTTAGTAGTTTGAAACGGAAACCGAGTAAGTATGGAAAAATGTTATTTCTGTTCCGATCTTCATGAAATTCGGCACTACGGTACAGTAAACGATTTAAAATGTCTTGCTGGTGTCTGCGTCTCTCTATGTTGGATACTTTTTAAGAAATGAGCTCCAACTTTTTAATTAGTGTTGTTAGAGGGGAACAGAGTATCTTTTTGAGATCCTGACGTTCCATTCTATACGTACGTAAATTTTTTTAAACTTTTATCTTCCCAAAAAAAAAGGAAAGGGTATAGCCTTCCAAATTTTTTGAGAAAAAATTTTTTTGTCTCCGCTTCCAATGAAAATTTGGCTACATATCAAAGAGAACAATGCAAATTAAGGAGTGGATTCAGTTGCTTCTTATTGACAAGGGTTTTATTTTTTTTTAATTTTCCTCAGTTATTAATAATCGAATCATTCTCTAAACATGCTCAAAACGTAGAGCCGAACAGATAGATTAAAGTGCTCTTTGTCGTTTGTCTCTATCCTAAGCCGTTTAGGAGATAATCAAGTTTATAAATCCATTCTTCTAAATTTTCATGGCTTTTAGGCCTCTATCTTGAAGAAATTCGGAAATTTCTTCTATTTTTTTGGGCTGGTCTCCATCTTATTACAAAAATTAGTCTAAAAATTTGGCCAAATTATTACTTAAAAAAAGTCCAATGGTTAATTGCCGATTTACTTTACTATTGTAAAGAAGAAGAGTGACATATGACAGATTTATTGAGATCTAAACATGGAGGTAAAGGTATTTTTAAAATACCTTCTCGCATTTTCCGAAACCAAAATTTTATTAACGAAATTACGTTTTCTGTATCAAGAGCGAGAAGATATGGAAAACATTATTTTTACTTCGATCTTTATGAAATTTGGTGTATGCTTTTATCTATACGTTATATTTGCGGTAAATTACTTGTCAAGAGATGTCTGTCACTAATTTTTACAGACTATTGCTGCGTTTGAGAATCCACATCGGATGCATCTGAGATGTAAAAAATCTTTGATCACGTGATTCAGTATACGTAAATGTAATGGGACAGATGTGTCCGATGTGAATAAAAAAACGCTCAAGATGTAAAAAATGCATCCGATGTGGATTCTCAAACGCAGCAAACGTTGGTCAATTTTAGTTCATAATATATAAAATAAGGGAAAACGAACTTACCTTAGAATTACAGCTTCCTAGGAATAAATGCAAAACTCCATACAATTTTTCAAAGATCTTTTAAATTTAAAAGATGTTTGCAAAATTGAACAATTAATTGTTCAATGGGATTGTGTATGGATTGTATGAACTTTAAAATAGCTATTTATGCAACCAGTAACGAGCAGGGTGAGGTCCTGCAACATGAACAAGTTACACAAAATGGCACTTCGTAATTGAATAAATTATTTATGAAATTGTCAGAAGATTACTGACATTTAGACAATCAATATTACTTTCTTGTATTGTTAGTTGCATATGTATGCAACTAGACAAATAGAAAATCGGATTTATTCTCAACAACTGGTTGCACAAAGTAGATTATTTAGACATGTCTCTTTAAATGCCAAAATTAGAAAGTTATATATTCGCTGTTCCGGTAAAACAACGACGCAAATGCAAAATTATAAATTTTTCAGGAGAGACGAAAAACGAATATTATTACTTCCAAATTTGAGCACATAAATTACAAAGAACTTGTCCTAAATAGCAAATACAACATTTAACCATAGACTAAGTAATGTCTCCCTTAAATTTGCAGACACAACTGATTCATGTGTCATTGTTTTTCAAAAGTGGAGGGGCAAACATTAATATTTGAAAATTGAAGTAACTACCATTTAGATGGCCGGGAGTGGATAAAAAATTTCGCCGTTGTTATACCGTATAGAGAGACTAATTTGGAAACTAATGACATGTTAAAATCAAAATGTCACAATTTTGCACTTGCGTCATTGTTTTACCGGAACGGCGATATGTACTATTATCTGTACATTTTATTTTATTTTAAATTTTAAATAATATTTTCTAATTTAAAAGGTATTTGAAAAAGTTCTGTGTTACTCCTCTAGATTTTTTTCGAAGTTTCTTCAATCTTATCTTATTTTCTACAAATTAGAATTCGTAATTTTAAAAGATATTTTACTTTTATTAAATACAGGTTATTTCCCCTAGCCCTTATGGACATGATAAAATGGTCTCAACCTTGACATAAATTATGGACCTGTTTTTGCATGTTTTTTTAAATGTACTAAAAATATATATAGTTTTGAAATTCCCTCTATCATCCTTTATAACTGAAACTGGGATATTTACAGTAAAATATTTAACTTTTCTTAATAATCACTTAAGCTCTACATGTCCCTCATATTAAGGTACTTTTTTTAAAAATACCCTTATAAGACTTCTTCTTAGAACAGAGGTTCAATTCTTGAAAAAGTAGGAATTCAGGGAAATATAAAAGTTATGTTGGTTGCTGTTAAATTCAGATACGTCATAATGTTAACCAAAGAAATATTACAGTTACTTTTGGAGATAAATTAGAGGACAGCAATTTTTTAACCAGCTTTATGAGGAAGTGTTAAATAAAAATATAAATATTTTAAAGAGATTTCATTAAATAACCTACAAAATGGCATCTGATTTTTTCTAATTTGCAATATACCCCCTCATAAAAACTGATCCCCAAGATAAATAAACTTCTTTCGATCCTAGACCTTAACTGTCCTCTTCAAACTGATATTTTGTTAGTTATACATCTGTATATATTTGGCCCATTACTTCCTATAACTGAGTAAAACAACCTGCAACAGATGATTCCTTTTTGCCAAATAAGGTACAGAACACTAAGGAACTACGTAAATCTCTCCCAAGAATCAATTTCTACTATTTTAAGAATTGGACCCCAGTGGCAGTAACTGCTCTCTTCAGGAAAAAAAAGAACTGTTGATGAGGGATAAAAAATGTTTTCGGGAATGTCGGAAAGAATGTATATAGGAATTATAATTATCAATATATTTGAATAATTTTCATAAATTACTCTTCATTTGACTGACTTAAATGATGTAATAAAATCTTTTTTGTATAATAAAACATGTACAGGATTTTGCAGAATACCAACGCAGCAAGCACTTCCAAGCTTGAAGTCTGCCACTTATTTTTTTTCCAGCAAACAGTTCGTTTTTGTTTAATTTTTTTTTGTTTTAATCAAAAAATTCTCGACTTATTTTTTTCATATTAAATCGACATAAACAACACTTAACACGTATATTGCCTAATTGGAAACCTGTCACTTGTCAGTACTTCAGTCAATTCATATCAGATGATAATCACAATAAGTAAATCACTTTAAATTATTCCTCTAAGTAGATTCTAGAGTTCAATTTGGCTAAGTTCTTGTGCCCGGAAAGGCCGAAATTGGTAGAGCTCAGTGGATGGCCACCGGGCTCTGCTGAACACAAACCATAGGACTGTCTTCTTGATCGTCAGACTTGTTTTGAGGACCGTTTTGGGAGTGAGAGTGCTTGGGGGGTGTGCTTTCCATTCTAGTAGTTGGGTAGGGGACGTACTGAAGGGACGAGGAGCCGTGGTTTAGCATCGAGGACTGAAATCGCTGCCGGTGTATGTGACGCGACGGCGATGGGTCACATTCCATTGATGTGTACGCTGAAGATAAGTAGTTTTGTTCGGATACATCTTTTGAACGACCTCCTAAGTTTAATCCTGAAAAATAAATGGGTCATTTTAGTACGAATAGTGGAGCAAACTTAGCAGTAACTTTTTTTAGTCTCAAAAATAACTTACTTGTTCAGTATGAGTTAGGATCGTTTTAGATGCAAGTAACAATTAACGCTGACGACCTAAAAAGTATACAATGCTATTTATAAAGTACTTTTTCTCCAACCACATGAATAAGACGAGTTTAAAGTCAAATAAGACTTACTTCTTGGGATGTGCAACTGACCCTTTTGCAATTAGAAAAGGATTGAATAAACGGGTAAACAAATAATCAATTAAAGTTTCAAAAATCTAGCTGTTACTGATCAAAAAATCAAAGTAAATATAAAATGTTTTCAAATTTTAAAATATATTTTTCAAAATTAGCTTTACGAAATTGTAATCACTACATAATCCTTCTTACCTTTACTTTAAGACTTTTAGGCCGATTTTATGTGTCAAAGAATTGTCCTAATTAAGTAGGTGGATTATAGAGTAGATGTTTCTATACTGTGATGAGGTTACTTTTATTGAATATTGGGGACCATAGAATTTTTCGAAAAACCGGAGAATCTGTATGCGTCAGGCAAATTTCCTTAGACGATGCTGTACTAGTGATTGATTAAAAAATTAAGATTATTTTGCCACCATCTGAGAATTAAATCTAATATTCAAATTAATAATTTGACTCTGGCCATCTAATTTTCTGATGGTCGAATTAGAAAAACTCATATGTGGAGGATTCAATTACTTCCCGGGATATTTTTTTTTTTCAATTTTTAATTTAATTTGTTTTTACTCCAGGTACTCTAAAATAATTTTCATCATTTCGTAGTGATAATAATGAAAAATGTATTTAATTGTGTGTCTGTACAGGCGCTGTTACAATTTCCAAGCGCCTCTTTAAGAACAGCACTGTTAATTATACCCCCAACCATAAATGGTCTAGTTGGAATCTTACCTAGCCATTAGAATTAATTATAATAGAAAAATTCCGGATCCTTGTAAGATTCAAACACAATGGATCTGAAATTCCAGGTTCCAACCTCTGAACCAATTCCCACCTTAAATGTGTATTTAGATTTTTGAAATAAGTGTTAATAATCCACCATAGGCGTTTTTTTAATTAAATTTGTTAAAAGTGAGTTTTAGTATACAGTACGTTAACCAACACATCCAGCAGAATAAAATGAGATGTTTAATTATATTTACAGGTGAGGGGGATAAAAAAGTAATTCGTGAATCGCCTGTCTGTCTGCCGGAATTGGACGCATGGTTACACCTCTACAAATAGTGGGATAGCGAGCAATGTCTTGTCTATTCAATGGCATCTCTTATTCTATACCATTCTCCTATCAGAGAAACACCATTTTACCACAATATAGTTAATGAAATTGTCATTGTATAGGTTATCAGACAATTGGCCTCAGTTTTCTTAACTTTTAATGCTGTAACATTTTAACTCGATATGACCAGCGTTAATGGTTAGTTGCACCTGAAACGGCTCTATTTTTTGACCACAAAATCATTGTAAATTTTGATTTTAGAATTGTATTATTGATGATTTTACTATTACTGTGCGCCGACATAAAAATTACATAAAAACTTGTGATTTGTATATTAAATATGAGAGCATTTAGTTATTATTTCATTGTGCTGTAAGCGCATGTACGGATTGGTCCACTATATCTACTTTGTCTGTTAAGGATATTTGTGAAATCTAGTACTAGTATGTTAGATGCAAATTCCTTAATTTTTTTTATTGGACATCCTGTGTATTTATATCTATTTCGATTCTACTAGGAAAATGTTCTATAAACACAGGTTTTTGGATTTTTCGAAACAGAACTATTTAAAAACACATCAGATATTTATGGATGAAAAATATAGTGGAAAACACATAGTTTGGTATATAAGCATTGAAATGGTCTATGTTTTTGAATTCATGTATACGTCATTGAAATTGTAATCAAGTTTGTAACGCGATGACATGCCCAGGACTTTGTTAAAACCGGCACCGCTGCATGAACGTTACACAAGTTACGGGAGCCACAGCGCCATCAATCGTCAAACCAAGGAAGAAGTGGAGTTCTGAATTAAAAATAGAACAATAAAGGCGTGACCATGACAACACAAACGTTCTAATTTTATCTACTTTGTTATTTTTATAGTTCTTGTGTGTTATTTAATAAATAAATACACCTACCAAGTTCTAAAAGTTATATTTCGGATAGAGAAACCCAAAAACTTCCCTCTTTTATAAATAATAATAAGCATTATTAGTTAGGGGTAATTATTTCATACAATTTTAAACCACCATTTTCTTGTCAAACCACTTTCTTTTGGAAAATAAGACATTTGATATGGTTATACTTTTTACCCTTAGACTCTAAACAGTTGTTTTTTAACATATATAACTTCATATTTCAGTAAATATTTGAGGCATCGATTTAATTTTTTTTTTTATATATAATTAAAGTAGCAAATTTCACAAATATCAGTTCATAGACAAAGAATGTGAACACTTTTTCACGGGGCCAGTTGATAATGGTCCTTCCGAAACTAAACTATTAATTTGACTTCAACAACTTAAGCAGATGGAAGAACCAAACAAGAAATTATTACAAAAAAAATCAATTTTAACTTTTTTTCTTTTTCTACAGCAACATTTATCAATGTTTCTTTGGTCCAATCCTCATATTTTACTCCAAACAAACAACCTGCGCTTACTCTATATCCAATAGTTATGACTCACCCAGTATAATTAAAATAGGAAATGGCACCCATTTCTACTTAATGACCATACCTGATATTGTCGATTTTTTTTTATTGCTTATTCAACTGAGCAACTTTTTTCCCGATTTAATTGACTATAATCAACTGGTAAAGACAATATTGTCCCCATGGAAAAGTATCCACCCTCTATAGGAATGTACTTCTTTGACTATCCCGTATATATTCAATATGTATTTTCAACTACCAAAATGCAGCACAGAAGTAACTTAAAGCAAATAGTTGGTATAAAAGATGCTATGCAAAAATAAAGAGAGATATGTGTGAGAAATAATGGACCCCTGTTTAAAGAAAATGTTGAAAGAAAATGTTGAAACAAAAAAAAAAAAACAAAAAAAGCTATCACAAACAAATCTATTGTGCAAAAATATTATGGGACAAACAAAACGATGAAAAAGCAACCCAAACCTGAAAGTCATTTTAGATTACATTGAATTTTATATATTTAAAAAAAAAAGACCTGCATGTGTAGAGAAAAACGCAATAAATGTAATCTAAAACGCCATTTTAAACAAAAAAATCTCATATTCATTGCGTGCTTGACGTGCAAATCACAAAACTTACCTCTTAACTATGGTTAATAAATGGTCCAACATGTAGACTTCAACCTCTATTGACTTAATAACTTTGAAATTATCTTGACGATGAATTTCCTAATGTATCGAATTGAAGAGGGGGTCCATTACGTTGGCCTGTAAGATCCCTCACATGTGCAAGACAATAAACAGCATATCCCACAAATAATTTATTATTATCAATAAACTTTTGTTACAAATATATCTGGGTTTTAAAACTATTTTGTTGTGAAACACGGAATAGAAAAAATACTAAACAAAAAGTAAAATCTAATAAAACAAATAGGGTTTGTCTTTATAATTTCTTGTGGAATAAATTTGTAATAAAAAATTACTAAATTCTTTTACAGATTTTTTCAGGGGGTAAGAATGGCTGATGTAGCTTTAGAACGCTGAAATTTCATTTTATATAAAGAGTGTGATATTAGTAATAAGACAAAATGATTATAATTTATTTTTATAAAAGTTAAATATTTTCTGATAATTTTGGAACAGACATGTATTTAATTATTATGAGTTGGATTAAAATTAAGAAAAATAAGTTAAATAGAAAATAAATGGGCAAATAATTAAGTTTTTTTTGGAACTGGAAACGACAATATGGTTCTTTGAAGAATCTCTTCTGAGACATGATTGTATTTTGAAAAATATTATTTTGTACCCAAGGGAATAGTATGTTTTGTAATACTTTAGTTTCATATTAGTCTTTTTTTTATAAAATAAAAAAAATACTTTAAATTCTATTTCTAATTAAAAATTCAATAAATACACCAATTTTTAACAACCAAATAAAAAACAATAAAACGCCAAACCAAAAACCCTATTTTTTAAACATAAAAAGAATTTCTAAAATGCTATCATCAGTTATACAAAACAAATCGTACAATTAGAGTATTATTTGACCTCTATTTTAGTTAACATAAAAAAATATTAATTCAGGAAATTTAAAAATAAGCATCAGTTGGATTAACAACTCAAAACAATTTTAGGAATGCCTATAAGGGGTCCCTACTACTTCACAGGGACAGTAGTGCCATTCCTTAAACGATAACAGATAGAAAGTTGATTAAATTAGACAAAAATTGCTCAGTTTTTACTCATATCAAAGGTTTCTTGGCACCACTTTAAAGAGCACAAAACTGCAACTTTTGTCTAATTTAACCAACTTTCAACCTGTTACAGTCTAAGAAATAACAATGCTGTCTGTATGAAATAGTAGGGACCTTGTAAAGGATGTCCCAGAAATATTTTTATTTATTAATCCATTCACTGGCGGTGGTCGACAGTGTTAATTTTTCATAATTTATATTTTCTTTTCATAAGAGAATTTATCTTGATTAAATTGCAAGATAGGCGCATTTAAATCAATGGAACAAGCTGGATTTCAAAAGAGATAATATTACCTTCTTATAAGTCATTTATAGACAAAGTAAATTAATACCACTTCAACATTGTCATTCACGAAAAAGCATTTGACAACATCGAAATGTGGCCTAGGGAATTAATTATTTAACAATGGAAAATCGTCTTATAAAAGCTTGAATGTTAAAAGTGTTTGTGTGTTGTTTTTAACCATTTACATTGCTATAAAATATTGATTTACAAAAAAAAAAAAACTGTAATTACGAAAATTATAGAGAATCGTATGTAAGTTTTATTAAAGGTACTTTTAGGAGGATTTGCTAACCGATAATGAAATATTTTGAAAAGAAAAACTCGATTTTTAAGTTATATCTTGTTAAATATGTTAAATATTATTTTATTATTATTAAAAAAAAAAAAAAGATTGAAAATGTAATAATCTAAAAAACCAGTTATGATAATTTTTGTATAGTTTATGAGATATACAGGGTGTTGACTTATCAATCTTTTATAAACGTGTCGAAAAAAACCTAAATACCATTTTTCTCAAAAGTCCAAAATAACGAAACAAAAAAAAATGTTTTAAGCCGTACAAATTCCAATTTTAGCGACTATGAGTAGCTACAACAAATAAGATAACCTTAATTCCATAAATATACATGTGTGATTTAGATTTTTGTTTTTTATTAACCTCTCAACACCTCTGTAAAAGATTAGTAAGTGGTTTGGTAACACACTGTAGAAGTAAACATATTTCACTTTTATGTAAGTTTTCCTGTATAGCTAATTTTATTTTAAACTTGAAAAAATTGATGCTAATATTTTTCACATAGGACTCTGTAAATAAAGTAAATCAAGAAGAAAAATGTGTTGCAGGAAAGGTTGGAAAATAGGTATAGTGTAATGGTTGGTACATCCATTTGGGGTACCATCTTTACTTGCTAAACGAAACAAGATGAGTTTAGAACAAAAATTGTAACGATCTTTCTCGGCATATGACAGCATTTTAGAAACCCCAGAATACAAATCAACGTTCGTACTTACCGTGTTGACTACCAGAATTTACCAAAGACATATCAAGAGAAGCGACTGCAGGGCTAGAGCTCGTACTATTTGCCGTGTTTGTACTCTCGTCTGACGTACGCTTAAAGAAATTGTGCTGCAAAGCATAATACGGGGAGATTCTCGATTTCGGATCGTATTCCAGCATGCGGAGTATTAGGTCTTTGAATTTTAGATAGTCGGACATCGAATGGCCGACCTCGCCGGCTCGTCTGCCACCAGGACCGCCCGTCTCAACGCCTAAGATGTCGTGAAGTCTTCTGGTACCTGGTATTTTGTATTTTTTGCCGTCTTTACTTTTCTTCAGTATGTACCTAAAAGCAGAATGACAATTTTCCTTTTATCTATTAATAATGTATATTTTACTAACATCTATGTTTTAATTTTCATTTACTTTTAGTATAGTATATTTTATTAATATTTATAACATTTCCCTTGCAAACAAGCATTTGATGCTTCGCAAGAGTGTTTATTTACAGTTACCAATAAGACATTGCACTTTATATTTTGATTTTTTTTTTAATTTGATTTAAATAGTTGAGTTTTTAAAAAGAACCAAGATATTGGACTTTTACACACTAATGGACCACCCCGTATATTTAATTTACACTGTATATATTATAGACGTAATGTTTTATTGCCCTACCTTCTCTCTCCTGGTAATTTGTCAAAAAATTTCCTCGTTTTATTAGCTTGATCCAGCAGATGCTTGGGCGGCATGCCCAGCACCTCAACAATCTTATTCATCTGATCAATTTCATTGGCACCACTAAATAAAGGTTCTCCTGTATGCATCTCGACCAATATGCATCCCAAAGACCACATATCTATAGCTAAATCGTATGGAATTCCTAAAAGTACTTCAGGCGACCTGTAAAACCTCGACTGAATATACTGGTATATCTAAAATAAAAATCGACCATCAAAAAAAATTTGCAAAGCAGTGGAAATTTAAAATAAATCACCATGCATTTAAGAGTTAAAAAGAAAAACAGCTTTAAGTGTATTTAAATTGTATTTATGGCCAATTTGATAAGCGATTCCTAAAGATAGATTTAACCAAAGGAATCTTTAATTTAAAGTGTACTTTTTCAATAAATTTGAATACTCACTTAATTTGATAATGAAATTAGCCCGAATTGACTGCTCATATTTTTTAAATATATTTACAGCTTTAACACTTCTAATTTTTTTAATACCTTTCCAGTTTTTTTAATACTTTGTCAGATTTTTTTATACCTTTTCATTTTTTTAATATATTTATCTTTTAATATATTTCTAGGTTTTTTAATACATTTCCAGATTTGTTAATATAGTTTCAGTTTTTTAATACCTTTCCCTTTTTTGACAATTTTTATGTTTTTTAATATATTTCTAGGTTTTTTCTTTAATGCAGTTTCAAATTTTTTGACTTACCCTTTGACCCAGTTGGCAAGAACTTCCGAAGTCGACGATTTTAATGGCGGACCTTTTCGGGTTGCATAGCAGTATGTTTTCCGGTTTAAGATCGCAGTGTATAATGTTGAGTTCGGGCGTTGACAAAAAGAGTAAGGCTGTACAGAGCTGCTGCGCGAATTTTCTCGTGAGATTCAATGACACACCGCGGAAATTGGTGTTTCGAAGTAAATCATATAAGTTGTAGGAAAGCAGTTCGAATACTAGACACAAATGATTCCTCCACATGAAATGTCTTTTTAATTTAACTGGAACGAAAAAGAAATATCATATTAGCCAAATATCGCGAATATATACTCTACTGATTTTTAAATTCAGTCATTTCAGTCATTTTTTTCACCAAAACTGCAACTGCGATACGAATTTTCAGTTCACAACTATTTTTTACAATTACCAGAAGAAATCATCTTCTACAACTTAAGGATGAAAAAATACACAACATTGGGCAGCAGAAGATTTTTCATTCTTCTGTAATATTTTATCAATCAAGAATCACTTGTTTTAACAAAATTACAGAATGTTTTAAATAAAATACAATAATTAATTTATCTTCAGGACTACCACAAATAGTTCATTGTTAACCTTTATTATTTAACACACTTATCAATGTTTTAACACTTCATTAATGTTTGTGGTTGATAGCAAACTTTTTACATCCAAAATTTATTAATTATGTATGTATATACAGCGAGGACGTATAGGTTGGAATACTAACAGTATTTTACCAAAATACTTACACAGATCAATTTTTATTTTGAACTGTGACGTCACCACTTTCCTGTACGTGAATAACATATTTATTTCTTCATTTTTGAATTCCCAATGATAGACGATTACAAAATATCAGAAATTTTGAATCTAAAATTTTACTGAAAGGACTGGACTAATAAATATTTATTTTTTATTAGTTTGAATAATTACTAACAAAAACGATATTAATAAAAACCTACCCTGTTAAAATAAACATATTTAACAAGTCACTTAAAAAAACTCAAAAATAAGAGAGGTATAGAATTAAAAAATATAAATCCGGGCCTGGAATTGTGTATCAAATATGAAGTTAAATAAGAAGCCTGTTTATGTTTTTTAGCCAGTTGTTATTGTAATTCAGTCATGTGTGATTTTAATAGCTTTGCCTCGCGAGCCTACCATAGTTCCAGAACTTTTATTAATCTAATTTAACTGGCTATAAAGGACATGTAGGATGATCGATATGAGAAAACATGAAGTGTGTTTGTATTGAAGTGTGTTTGTGTTAATGAGAATGAACCATACTGGATACATTTTGAAATAAGTTAAAGTAAGGTTCTTGTTTTTGATTTTTGAAAAACTGTTAAAAAAGGTACCTATCTAATTAGAATTTCCCCTGTATACTGTCAACAGAAGGGAACTACATCATATTATGCAGTACCAGCAAGACAATGGCTAAACAAACTATTTCTGAGGCATTGGAGAAGGGATTTTACAGAATGGCCGGCAAGATCTCTAGATCTAACGCAACTTGGCTTCTTTTATTTAAAAACTTTGGTTTATAAAACCCCTCCTAAAGTTATTCAAGAACTAAGGGAATCGTTGCAGAGTTTGAGAAGAATTTGGAAATGGGTTATGTTATAGCTTAAAGAACAATTTATATAATTTTTTTTTAGTAAATAAGTGATTTCACTATATTTAATGTTACCTGAAAAATAAATCGACATAATAAATTTTTGTTAGTGAAACTTATAAATAGGTGAATATCATTAAAAAACTTTGACATTGTTTTTCTTAAATTTGCTTATTTCGACTGGTTAATTGTGTCTTCAGTTTCACTTACCTATATAATATTTATTCTCAACGTCGGCCCTATTCATCATCTCTAATAACTTAACTTCGATTTGAGCCTGGTTAAGAAAGGGTTTCTTATTTTTAATAATCTTTATAGCCACGTGACACTGTTCGACGTGATCGAACGCCTTAACTACTTGACCAAACGATCCTTTGCCGATAAGAGAGTCGATTTCGTATCTCTCCAGGAACTTTTCACCATTTTTTACTATGTAGTCGTGGTTGTCGTCGTCATAACCATCGTTATAAATCTTCCTCTCTTTCTTGTGGGACGTATCCTCGCCCTGGATCTGCGCTGCCCGCCGTTTCTTCTTGGCATAGTATACCTGAGAAAAAAATCGCATTATGGTACGAACTAGGAATGCTTGTAAAGAAAATATTAGTATCGGTCGATATAATTGTCGAATCAAAAAACGTTCTTGCCCGCACGTAAGAAAAATTAATTTAAACATGGATGATACAGGATTATTCATATGTTATCCATGGATAGATACCACTGAGACGATTTTAAATAATCCCTGATTGTATGAAAATATATTAATAAAATGTTTTTTATCTTCTTCTCTATCTAACATAAAGTCAGTAAGGAATTACTTTTTTATTTTGCATAAACTACATAACAAACTTGCTGATAAATAAATATTAGGGCATACTTGAATGTAACTTAAATCAAACATTAATAAGAAGTAACATCACCACCCATAGGTAGGAGGCCTAGTAACAAGTGCCAAAATGATTTTCTTAAAGCAATATCATCAGTAAATGTTCAATGTTTGTATCCATTTTCCGTATACAGGTACAGCAAGCAAAATAACTTACCTCGTTAATATGTTTATAAGTCTTGATAAGGTCGACGCTAAGTTTCCTAAGTGGTGCCAAAGACGAATCTCTAAATGTGGGAGGTATCCTCGCCTGCATCGCTTGGATATCCGTAGAGGAGGAATTAGACATCGGGGGAATCCCGAGAGTATCTTCGGCCACCAAGCGGCCATACAGGGGAACATGCCGTCTCTGAGTCAGAGACATATCACCTCCTCCACCAGGTGCGACTGGCACTGGAAAATTAATCAATGAGGTTCCGGTGTGCTGTGATGTTTTAGGGGTAGGGAAATGGGGAACTAAAAATTGCACTTCAAAAAAAAAAGAATAAAAAAGATCTTTTAAAGATTAATTCAGTAGTACAACTTCGCTTTCATTGATCTGCCTCTATATTACCTTAAAAAGTATTTTTTAATTTTTAATTATTTTATATATTGTCATACATAATTTATTTAAAAAAAAAAAACATCAAAAAATTTAAAAATGTAGTCCAAATAAGTTTTTGGAGAGCGACTTAAAATTTAGAATGCCGTACGCCACTGGCAAAGCTTGTCTAACTGATTTTTTGCTGATAATAAATAAGCAAATATAAATATCGATTAAATCCCATTCTGTATTAAAGCCAGATTGTTTTATTTAAAATTAATATAGTTTACAAAAAATATAAATAAATAAATCAATTGAATTACTTCCAAACACATTTTTTTTTATTAAAATAGGAATAATTTCAACGTACTTATTGACGAAACATAGTAGGAAACATCGCAAGGTTAGCGTGACAAAAAAAGATCGTAAATTTATTCTTAAATAGTAATATAACCATCACAACATCAAAACAAAGCCTAAATATCGTCCTTTTTACGCAAGTTGTTTTTCCGTTTTCAAGTATGCTCACGTAAATATGACGCCATTGTCGATGAAATAAAGGTGCATTCTAAAAAGATGTTATCAATTCCATGTAAATTTCATTCGCACGAACAAACAATTATAGTTAGGAAGCTCGGGTCCGAAATTTTTCAATTATCTGCTCATGATGCAGAATTATACAATCGTATAAGGAATAATAATAATAATTGTTATAATGACTTAACATTTTTACTTCTATAGCATTATAAGGTTGTTAAAAAAATGTATTTACAAGATTTATTTCGTATGCACGTTATCCCAACATATTTACAGAAATTGTAAAAAATTCAGAAACATTTCAGCACTAACATATCTATATTTTAATTTAATCAGAACAAAATTAGAATGTGAATCACTAATTTGGAATCCCATTTATTTTCCAGACTATTTTTATTTGTTTTCTTTCCGCAACTGGTGATGTAATGAGTTTTTCGAAACCAGTTTCATAATGTTCAACATTATTAAACTGGTTGCGTAAGTAGATCATTTTGACACTCGCTGCGATTACAAAAAATGTCACTTTATATGTTAAAATTAGAAAAAAACTTTTAAATTATAGTTGACAGTTCAGAATTATTATCTAAGTTTGATATTCACGTTCCTAGGATAACTTCCATACATTACATTTTAGTGTTAAAGATTTAATGTCTAAATCATCTATGTGCAGAAAATATCAGAATGTGATATTTTTTGTTGTAGGTTATATAAATTGAAAAACAAAAATCGTGCACCTCTTTAGTTTTGAACAGCAACATTATTCTAATTTAATTTTTTTATTTACTTTCTTACATTTATTGTTTTAACTACTTATAATTTGTGATCATGCATTTATTTTAGTTGACCTGTACTCAAACCACATTACAATATTATATATTGAAGCAGGTAGTTTACCAATTTTGACACCAGCTCCCTTACTATATTGAGAGAAGCGAATTCCAAATTTATTCGAAATTAGGAGAAAGTTGGATATTTTTTATTAAACAGTGTTGTTTGTTATGCTGTTTTAGATTAAAAATGTTTTTATTTTACATTATTTATGTATTCAAAATTCAGTAATTTCGTTAATCAAAATAAAAATAATGGAATATTCCCTTTTATGGAAAGTATGCAATACCTGCGACTTATTTTACTTAGATAAAAATAGAAATCAACTGGAACTCTATCAATGACAATAAAATTAAACAATACATGTAAATAGGGCCTCTTACACATTCAAAATAACATAAAACCGGTCCTGTAATTTCTGTCTTACTTCATAGCACTTGTGCAAATTCTGTCCCAGCGACCTCTGCTCTGCTGGATTCTTTGGCATTACAAACAGGGCACAATAACCACTTACCTGACCACTCTTGAAAGCAGGTAGATATGCTCAAAAAGGATGCTTAGGTACAAGTATCATACTTTTATGTGGAAGGTGCAATTACCACAAGCACATTTACCACCTACCAGAAATCCTAGTACAGCATCGTAGATCAAGATTACTTGAATTACAGAGAAATGTAATATATTACATATCTTTTACAGACCTACAAAGTTTATCTTCTCAATGACAAACACGCCACTGTGTTCCAAGGGGAAATAAAGGTATAAATAAATATTTTATTTGTGATTTCTCATTATGACCTAAATAAATAAATAGTAAATACATAAATTAAAACAAAATTTATAATCTGATAAAAATACAGTAACTGTTTTTCACGATTGTAGTTATTTTTTATGCATAAATATATTATAAAATGTGAAATTAATTTTTTATTTAAGATAGGTACAATAGCAAAACAATAATTAATCATAGCTATTAACAGTTGATAGTGACATTATTTCATTAGAAAATGCTTAAAGAATTTTCAATTTTAATTGTGCTTTTTATTTTTTCATATTTGAATAGGAAAAAATGAGATACTCACTTAAACAAACACAGAACAATAAAAGTATAAACAAAATGATAAAACTTCCAAATGCAGATTTAAAAAATTCCTCGAAAAATTCAAATTAATAATATTCTAAGTACAGTGTAAATATAGATTCCTTGTTTATAATGTACACACTCATCACATGCACAATATGGAAAACATAGTTTTATTGTGAATCAAATAAAAACACCTTATGAAATTCTCTACTGCAAAAACTTTTCACTCTGTAAATTTGCCTTGTTAATTCCTTTCCCTATTGAAAAATATAGTATGTTAGTTGTAAACCACCAACCACCATCTGCTACACATACTTATTAAAAAAATTAGTTAAATACAATGGAGAAGAATATACAAAAAAAACATTGTTATTAACAAGTTTTCATTTCATCAAATACTTTATCTTGGTAGGTATATTTTTTAATACAGTTAATGTCAACCCTTAATTTAAATATTTATGCACGCCTATGTTATTCACATATTTCAATATATTTGATATAACTTTAAATACAATTCATATTTATTTTTATACAAAATGTACCTTCCAACCATTTTTGAGGATTATCTCAGGTAGTTTTTTTTTTTATTTTGTTAGAAAGGGAATTTTGAACCAGTTCAAGCAATGTTTTTTTTTTCGAATTAGTCATAGGATTTTTCCATTATTGTAGCAGGACGGGAAGAAATAAAATCAATAATGATTCATTTATAGAAAGTCTAGCTATTGCATTTGTAAGTTTTAAAAACCATTTTCCAATTATTTATCTAGAAATTAATGTATTTGGCACCCTAAATACAAAGAAAAATATATCAATTATTGCATAAGTGGAAGATATACATGCTATAACTAATATAATAAAAAAATGTCTTTAAAATTGGGTAGATATTTATTTCTAAATTCAAAAATTACCTCTCCCCTTATATAGGTACAATCATGAAGTTGCTTGTGGACTTGTAACTGATTTGATGTGTATATTGTGATTCTTAAAAGGCATTTGACAAAATCATTTTAAATACATAGATATATTTGATACTTACCTATATCTGGGAAATCTGATAATTTTATGAATTCATATTTAACACACAGATGATAAAGAATTAAGATTAAGATTACAGGGGTGAATAAGGGCAAACATTTGGGTTTTGATTTTCTAATAGGTATGATTTGCTGATGAATTCAAAATGTACCTATTAGTCAAAAATACTATTTTATAAGATAAAGATGCAAATCTAACAAGCCAGGATGTCAAAAAGGCAGCAAAGCACTTAGGAAATTTTGAGTTAAAATCTATGCCATATTTTTAGGCTATTTTAAGGTTATTTTTATACCATATACAAAAATTTTAAACTCCTCGTTTTTTTTACAAAAATAATTTTTTTTACAAAAATAAAGGTTCTCTGCTAGCTTCGAATGAAGCCAGCAGAGCACCTGTTTTTTAGTTTTTTTTTTTTAACAACTGCACCATATTTTTAGGTTATTTTCAGGCCCTTAAAATATTAAAACCTTTCAAAAAAAATTGGTGTTTTTAAAAAATACCAGGTACTTACTTTGCTAGCTTCTAGAGACGCTAAAAGATTTTTCGGAATGATGTAAATATTTCAAGAGCCTAAAAATGTGGCAGTTAAAAAATACTTAAAGAAAACGAGTTGCTCTGCTGACTTTAATCTAGCAAATTGCAATTGTTTAGAAAAACTTGTAAAAAAAACTACAATAAAAAAACAACAAAGACCAAAAAAAAAACAAACAAAATACTTAAAAACAAAAAAAACAACAAAATACTTAAAAACAAAAAAAAATTTTCATAAGCTTTGTAATATTTCAAGTTTTTCGGAATGTTTTAAATTTTGAAGAGATTTAAAATAGTTTAAAAATGTAGAGTTAAAAAAAAATACTTTAAAAAAACTAGGTAGCAAAATTGCATTTTTTTTTAAAAAACTTTATATTTCAAGAACCTAAAAATAGTCTAATGTTTTAAAAATGCCAATTTTTTCGAAAAGTGCCTTGATTTTTGTAAAAAAAAAGAGGAGCATAACATTTTTAGGGCATAAAACTTGCCTTAAAATGGCCCAAAAATATGGCAATGGTTTTAACTTAAAATTCCCTAGGTGCTTTGCTGTTTTCTTTGGCATCAAGCTAGTATAAAATTTTAGTAAAAAAAATAAATAAAAATAGTTTCAAGTAAGTAATATAAATTCTACTGCCTGAAAAAGTATTTTAACTGATGAGTTTGTAGCCATTATGCTAATTATTCAATTATGTGTAATGAATTTTACTTTACAGTTATGTAAATTGATGTAAACAAAGTATGAGATTAGGTATGAATTTTATTAATTGAATAGCATAACAGTCATGACATATTCCACGCCTCTAAACCAGGTCTTTTATTGTACTTGTGCACAAACAAATTATTTGATAGAACCAAAAAATGATACACCAAACTATTTATAAAATTTACAAAATATTTTTTGCATTTTGTACTTAATATTTAGATTAAATTACTGGACATATATTTTATAAAAAAATTGTTGAGTAGCAGAACTTTTTTTTATTGATTTTTAGTTTTACTTAAGTTGCCATATTCAATTGTCTTCCGTAAGATTAATTTCCACCAAATAAATATGTAAATTCAAGAATGTAAATCACCTGATAAAACCGAATTTTTAAAATTTAAATTTTTTACATTTATTTTTAATTTTTTTTTTATAAAAATATGGTCGTAAATGTATATTGTATGACACTGGACTGTGAACTGCTTTTAAAACATTAGTACTTGCTATTAAATAACATTTTTTTTTTTAATATTGAATATTATTTGAAAATAATGTTTATAAAAATAATTCAAATGACGTCATCTAAAAGGCATTAAAAGTGAACCTTGAACTTTTCACTTGTTGCTGTTTTATGTGTTTGAAAAACAAAATTACCCAAATAAAAAGGATCAATGTTGTACTGGTGGCTTACTTTGAACTTTGACCTTTTATCAACAGCTACCAGAATTCAGTGATCATAAAATCTTCATGAATTTTTGAGTTTCCAATAAAGATTTAATTGTACAATCTCTCATATTATATGATTGTTTCCAGAATATTTATTTTTTAAGAGAAATTAATATAACTGACCCTTTCATTTCTAATAAATTAAAAAAGAGATATCAAATGTTGGGATGCATAAACAAAATAATGTTTTGACCCCAGTGCAACACTGTAATTTTTTCAACCTCATGGAAATACAATTTTGATCAAATTGTAGTTAGCTTATTTTCAAGAAGAATTGGAAATAGTTATCAGAAAACCACAAATACATAATGTTTTTTTTTTTAATTATGAAAATTCAGTTCAGTTGCTTACCTTATAGAGAAAAATATTTTGTACTGCCTAGTATCATAAAATTAATATTTTAAAAATTCCAAAGTACTTAGGTGCTAAAAAAAAGTACAAAATTGAAAAAGTACTGGTACCTACTTACTTATCTATGAATAAAATACCTAAAAATCTCAATAATAACACCAATAGCTAAGGTTGAGAATTCAATTAGAGCAGTGAGATTATGTCCTATTAATATGTTATGTACAGTAGAATTATTTTAGAGAAAGTAGTATATAATCAACTAATTCAATATCTGGAAGACAATAATATGTTTAATAGTAATCAATTCCACTCGACCATTCACTGTTGGGTTCTAATTAACAGTGCTGTTCCTAAAGAGGCGCTGGAAAACAGTAACAAAGCCTAGACAGAACACAAGGCGAAATAACAGCAGTTGAAGCTGATGACACAAAAAAAAAATAGTAATCAATCAGGCTTTCGGAGTAAAACAACTACAACACTGCACAATATGTTTTGAATGACTGGAAACATAATCTTGACAATTACAGGTGCTTTCTTTATACCTACAAAGAGCATTTGAAACAGTAAATCTATCTCTGCTCATTAAAGAGCACCCTGGATTTTTAAAAATTACTAATTTTATATGAAAACTTTTATAAAATATAATAAAAATATGGTTTTGTTTTTGATAAAAAACAAAAAAAAAAGCTGAGATGCTCTGCTGACTTTGTTCAAAATTTCCTAGGTGCTCTGCTGCATTCTTTGGCATTTTTTTTTAGTATTTTTGAAGGATTAATTAGTATTTTTTTTGTTGACTCAATAACTCAAATTCTGAATTAATATACGTACTGTACCTAGCTAGAATAGAATAATTGAATAAAGTTAATTTTGATAAAAAGAAAATGTTGCAGATGAATTAACTAAGTTCAATCTGATCTATTACAACAGGGGGCTTATCATATTGGCACAACTAACACACAATTGTTTTGGTATACTGACAATACAATTTTTAATAGAATTCATAATTTAAAAATATATATGTTGGTTTTAATAAAAGTAAATGGATTTGTAAAACAAGTGAAAAAATTGTTTATTTATCATTATATCTGCGTATAGTGGGAATATGCCCATAAGTCAAGTTATCATATATTTTTATTAACTTAAATTCAGCCTCAATAACTAACTACAAACCCATGGCTGTGTAAAATCACATAAGTCAATAATGAAACATAATGATTGTGTATATGCACATTATTTAAAGTATGGCATTATGCGGTGGGTATAATAATAGAAGTTACAGATATGTGATTTTACTCTTCTTGACTTATGTACTTATTCCCACTACACATATATTCTTATTGCTTCAGCTAAAAAAAGTAAATATCATAGACATTAAGTCAAAAAATAGGTTTATGAGTTATAAGCAATTTAAAGTTTCAATGAAGTTCTAATTTGTTATAAATTATTTAGGGATTTTCAACTGCTTCAAAGAAAATGTACATGCTTTCGGAATACAATGTACTGTTTTTACAAGATATACAAAAATATAAATCCATTTTGATAAATTTTTAACTTAGTGCCTTTTGCTTGTAAGACCACGGTATAATCAATAAAAATCAATAATAAAACATAGACAGGCAATAGTGTTTATGAGAAAATGTATGAGAAGTTGCCTAGGCTCAATAAGTTGTCATTAAAGAATAGGTTAAATAATGTCAAAATAAAAAAATTACCCATCAAATAATAACATGGAATCTAAATGTATTACCAAAAGAAAAATAATTGGTATATTTGCGATTGTAGTTTTTATTTTCTTCATTTTTACTTAGTTTGAAAGAAAATGTAGAATTAATGATTAAAACTGGTTTCCTGTGAATAGGTAAGTCACAAAATTGCATTCCAGCCACATATAATCAAAGGCAGAAATCTAGTCCTTGCTGAACATTTAAGATTTAAGGGATGTTAAAGAACATCATAAAATTGTTTATTTAAAACCTTTCTACTTTATGATATCTACTATTTCCAGTAATACTGGAAGTATTACAAAATTGAAGGTACTTTTTCTTCTTCTTATTGTAGTTACAGCTATCCATTTATTTCTTTGACATAATTTCCTTTTTTGCTACTGAAAATTTATATAACTTAGTGTTTTTTGCTAGTATTTTTACAATTTACAACATATCAACTCCAGTTGCTCATTGTATTGGTTTCACCTATTTTTTTTAAATGTTAAATGTATACTTGTATTTGATAAGCCAAAATTACAAAATATCACCCTAAAGTGAACAAATTATCTGCATCTTGCACTAGTATCGCTGTTGCTTCCCCTACCATGACTTCACATTGAGTAAATAGGTATAGGTACCTATTTTACTTTAAAAAATCTTATAACTATGTACACATTATGAATGGCATAGTTTTTGAAATACATATAATGTAAAATGTTTAGAATTAAGTTAACAAAAATTATAAAACTGTTAGTAGCAGTAAAAAAAAACAATCTCAGAGCACTAACCTGGTATAAATGTAAAAACATGCATGGTTTAAATAGTTTTCCTCTAAATCATGTTTTTTTGGTCATGATTTTACGATCTCAGATAAAGTCAGTTTATTCACGAATGTCTTAGTTTTTATCTGTAGGTTTTGTTTAGGAACCATTAATCAATTAACATATATTTTAGAATAATTAAACTGACATTAAGTATATATTATTTTTAATTCACAGATCATACCCCCCAGAATCCACCACTTGAAACGCCATTGATTTAATATTGAATTTCTTCACAATTTGATGTATCTAAGCAATTAAAAGTAATTAATATTACATTGGAAGTCTGAATTTTAATAACTGATATAGACCTATAAGTTTTACAAAGTAGAATATATGGACACTTTTTTTTAACATAATCGTGACAAAGTTTGGTTAACTTTTGATGGACGCGCATGTCGCGTTCGGCCAATTTCCGAAATGTCAAAAGCGGCCCACCAAAATATCAAATTTCAAATAAAAAAATACTTTTATGTGATATAAATAGGTACAAGAAATTATAATGACGGCGCTCGCATTTGTTTGCAAAAAACTAATGTGCCATGCCAAAAATGTCGTGAATTCTCTTTCAGCGCCGAGACTGGAGACTTCAACTTCCACCTAGTAATTTATAGAGACAGATCAAGGAAGTTTTTTTGTACCACAGTTTTCTAAATATACCATTAAATAGAGTGGCAACTGAATGTGTGGGGAGAGACGAATTAAGAGAAGGAAAGTACCTACTTTTTGGTTTATTTTTATCCATGAGCATTACGTGTTCGTGCTTGTGCCACGCCATGGAGCGCTAAGATTGAAGTTAGAGGGTGTTCTACTGTCTTCCTCAACCCACGGCTGATTGAATATTACAGCCGGGGTTAACATAAGATGATCCACCTTAATGGCCACCAACTTCCATGCTGTCACTGGGTAAACAATCCCGCGTGCTTAAGGCCACTAACCTCCCGCTTTCCAAGGCCAGCCGATATTATGCTTTCACAGACACAGGCACTTCCGTTTCGAGAGAGACGAAGACAGAAAAACAACAACCAGTCAATCCGACGAACACAACATACTTCGATTATGGGATTCTCTCGTCTATTCAGGAAATCTTGCACAATAATTGGGGTATATTGCTTAGGCCACATGATATAAACATATTTAATTAATAATAAATTGAAAACCACCAGACTAAACTCGATTGAATATATCAAAGTTCACTCCCCTTGTCGCAAGGAATGGACTGATCGCTCTCGATTGACGACACGACAGTCACAGCACTTCACTGTACACAAGAAAAAACTCGGAAGCACTACTGAGCAAAACAATAACAAATGTGCATGCATAGCACATTGATAAATTAAACAGGATTTAGGTTAAAAAACTAACTAGCTATTAATCACTCGTAGGTATAAACTTCCGAATCTGCTGTTTTTAGGCCCACATGTAGGTATTTGGATCATTCACCTTTATTACTGTTTTCCACTCCACGTGTGTTGAATTCTAGCTTTCCGGAGAGCACAAAATAACACTTCCCGTCTATCACGAAAAATAACTCGCATATTCCGTTATACTTTTCGTTAATTTACACTTATTAGTTTACAATCAATTGAATAATTTTATTTTGATGGTGTAGCACACCCCTAAAACGCAACAACATGGCAACTCTCAACTAAGTAGAACCAGTGTTGCCAGCTTTGACAGCGTCTACCTGACTTAAAAATCTATATTTAAAAAACTTTTTATCTACAATTACACAAAATAAAAAACTAGGTAACAAATTTTTCATAATTGTGCATGATTATATTTACTAATTTAATTTTAAATACCGATTCGCTTTCGTCCCACATTTAAAAAAATAAAATTGCATTTAAATTATCGTACAGCACCATCTATTGAGAAGTAGTTTAAACTTTGTATCAAATTTCTTCTAATCTGACTGAATTAAAATCTTTTCCATTGTACAAACGACAGTCAGTCCAGGTTAAAAATTTATACAAAATGCCACTTATGTGTGAAAAAACTAATTGTTTGTTCCGTTTTAATATTATTTATAACTATGTTCGCTAAATATATTCAAAATCTATTTTAAAAGTTGAACTCATTTCTTCTTTTAATTAATTCTTTATTTAGCCATTAATTACTTTGTAGGATGCCAGCCAAAGTTACGAGGAGTTTATATACAGGGTGTTAATAAAAAAGTGTCACAAAATAAAACGGGGGGTAGTATGGGCCAAAATATGCAGAAAAGTCTTAATAAACATATGTCCGCAAATGAATGGTTTCAGAGATACGGAGTGTTTTGTATCATTTTTGATTATCTTCTTTCATTCTCAAAAACGTACTTTTCTTATCGGAGTCTACCGATGTTTTTTCATAGATACTATTTGCAGTTATTATTTTGTTGTGGGTGAATAATTTTATAAATTTTCGTTATGCCTGTTTACACTAATATTGAATTAGCTGACATGCATTTTATGTACGGTCGTGCAAATGGCAATGCATTGAAATGGAGGGAGGGCACTTTGAACATCTCTTTTAACTCTATGTTGTTATTGATTGTTTATAAATATCATTGTTTTTTTATAATAATAAAAAATTGTTATAAACACAAAATGGTCCGTATCTCCGAAACCGTTAATTTGCGGTCATATATTTATTAAGACTTTTCTGCTTATTTTGGGTCATACTATTCACCATTTCATTTTGTGACACTTTTTTTTTAACACCCTGTATTTTTTAATTTTATAGGTATCTTGCTTGAATCTTTTATCGTGTTCCCAGTAATTTTGAATGAAAAAAAAATCTATAATCTTATATAAACAAATCCACCTTTATCTTAAAATAATACCGCAAAATATGGTAACTATTATTTTGAAAAAGTTTTAGTTTCTAAAAATGTAGTTTTTTCTTTTTGATTCATCACATCTTTCTAAAAGTATATTGGGGTCTATTCTGTAACAATTCCTTTATATTTAACGGCCTTTAAAAATAGTTTCTTATTCATTAATTTACTTCTATCATTATTTAAACAGATTTCTTTAAGATAGTCCTCTAATGTATTTTAAAGATGTTTAAATAATGACAGAAGTAAAGGAGAAAATATTTTTAAAGGCCGTTAAATATAAAGGAATTGCTACAGAATAGACCCCATTATATCTAAAATATTGTAAAAGTAGCTATTAGTAGTCAAGGACGCGCAGTTCTAATAAAAACTTGTTATTAAATTTCAAATCAAATAAAAGCAGCTAAAATCTTCAAAGTTCAAAATTCAGGCATGAATATTTTATGAATTGAAAGTTTTTGAGACATTAATCCATTTTTACCTCAAATTGATTCAACAAGTGGGTAAGTAATATTTTTTTCAAAGTATTTTTAAGATAAAATTAGTACTAAAAATATTTTTTGTATTTTCAATTAGAAATGACATTCATATACCTACCAAATTAAAAATTATATTTTAGATCTAGTAAAAATGAATAGACCGTGAATACCTATAATGAAACAATAAATATAATAAAAATTTATTCATCCAAATAAAATTAAAAATATAAATATAGTCTCAAGTCTCCACAGGAATAGAATTAATTTTAAGATTTTTCTTCACCGCTGGTTACTTCATTGTTAGGAAAACCACCAGATTCTGAATTATTATCATAAGCGGCTTTATTTTTCATTAAAAATGATGCTAAGGCTGCAATGGGATCATCAGGACGTTCTTTAGCGAGATAGGATAAGGCATTCATGAGTATGGGTACTACAGTTTGATCCAAATATTGTCTTGTAGGCAACGATGATAAATCCACACGGGATTTTTTCATTACTTCTGGAGTCTCCATTATTTAAATCTGAAATATATATAAAAATCTAGATTTACATTTAGGTTCAAATAAATTAGCAATAGGGATTGCTTTATTTTGACAAATACCAGTTACAAATCATTTTGTATTGTAAATAATATAATTTAGAAGAATTAACAGCTAACAGATATTTTACTAACGACTTCAAAACATTTCAAAAATATAACATTATAAAATACTGACATTCTGTTTCTTAGAAAAACTATCAATCTTATCTCATTAGTTTTCAATATTACTCACCTATGTAGAATACTTATTTGGATTGCTCCTCCAATCTGTTATTTTGGGTGCAGAAATGACTCTATAAAAGTAGCCGCAAATATTTTCAATAAAAATTAATTGCCTAATGACTTTTGCAATAATTATAGATTAGAAGACAAGAGAGGTTAGTTGATTTTGATTATTTCTTGTTTTGTTTATTTGCTGCGTGCGCCTGCTACACAGAACACTTACTCTTAGAACGGTAACTCCCATGTTAAAAAAGGATGATAGAGTTTTTAGCGGCACCTGGTGGACGTGGTTGATTTTTTTTCAATTAAGTCCTTGTCTGGTAAGAGGCCATATGAAAGAAGAGAAAATAATAAAAAGAAGAAGAGAAGAAAAGCGCGGGGCTATTCAAATTTGACAGTAAAAATTATCGGCATTAAAAACTGTTAGCCAAATTAAGATTTGTTCACACAAATTGCATTTTTGCTTTATTATAGCGAATATCGCTATAATAAAGCAAAAATGCAGTTTGTGTGAACAAATCTTAATTTGGCTAACAGTTTTTAGATAAAAAAAACAAGAATATTCAAAAAATAAATTTATTAAAGAATAAATATAATACAAATCCAATATTTAAAAAATGTAATGTATATGAAAATTGTATTATGTATGAAGTAGCTGGATGGCTGCTACATATTCCAGGATACAACACTGTCCATCATTTTGTGAAGAACTTTAGCTGTGAAAAAAGAAAGACAGTATAAGTACAATCTCATTAAAATAAATGTATTAATAAAAAATTATAAGTCCGAGGAATACTTTATTTTTTAATAAGTCCAACATCTACGATACAGCTTTGCAACCCCAAACGTCATGAAACACAAATTTCACAGTATATGCAGCGTTTAAGAATCCACATCGGATGCAACTGAGATGTAGTAAATCTTTGATCACGTGATTCAATTTACGTAAATGTAATGGGACAGATGTGTCCGATTTAAAATAAACTATTTGAGGCGCTGTTCTCCACATCTCGGCAAATGGACTAAAATAATAATTTATAATACTCTTAATATTACCTTATTTTAATTATTGTGCCACTATACTGTATTTGCTCAACCAGAATGAGTTGCAATGATTGCAAAAGTTGCAGAATAGAGGTCTGAGGATAATACTGAGCTGTTCGAGATTGGAACCAATCAATTCCATGTTGAATGTGCTTCAGTGGTTGACTGTTAAAAAATATTTGCTATTCTATTCCCTGCTTTTTATATTTAAAATTAAATCAGGAATCTCCAGAGTATATTTACAAAATATTTTAAGTTATAATCAGGATGTTCATGAACCTAAACAGGTAACAAGAAAAATGTACACAAAATTCAGTGTTTTTTTAAAGGTGTACAGGCTTTTAATAATTTGCCTGAGGATATTAAATGTTCTTCAAATGTGGCAATATTTAAAATAAAACTGCATGAATACCTGTTCACCTATTGACGTTTTTTTTCTCTTTCTTGTTCTTTTATTGTTTTGTATAGTTGACATGTAAGTGTACTGTATCTTATGTATTTTTTATTGCATTTTAAATGTATGTTGATTCTATATTTAGGTATTTTTTATATTTTAAACGTGAAGATGTATTGACATGTAAAAAATAGTTTTTTTGACTAAATAAACGTTTTATATATAGGTATGTGGATAAAAAAACGCTCGAGATGTAAAAAATGCATCTGATGTGGATTCTCAAACACAGCAATAAGTATAAAATAAATAAGTACTAACTTTCCTTCTCGAAAAGAAGTCCAACATATATTATTAGTCTGCTTCTTCTTCTACGATACAGCTTTGCAACCCCAAATGTCATGAAACAGAAAATACACAGTATAAGTATAAAATAAATGAGTAGATTACTAACTTTCCTTCTCGAAAAGAAGTCCAACATATATTATTAGTCTGCTTCTGCTTCTTCTTCGAACCTTTACTTGAAGTAGAAGGTGTTTGATCAACATATTCAATTTCTACGTTATTTGAGGAAAGTCCATCCGCTACTCTTCCAGGAACTGCTGGTAGGAATAGCGTTGGAAATGCTTCAGGTGTTAGACCTCGACGAGAGCCAACTACTTTATACTTCTCTTCAAAATGTTTATGACATACTACAAAGGTGGAATAAATTTGTAGTTTTGTTTTATTATTAAATCTTGGACAACGAACAGCAAGTGCCCAAATTTCAAATAAATCGGGTTCATTCCTAGGGTGGGGCAGGCGATGCATCTTGTTGTTCACATCAAGGCAATTCGGTACACAACATTTTCTATAATTACGCATCTTTATGGAAAAGCACGAAATAACAGCGGAAAAAGCACAAGATAACAGTTCAAAACGCACAAATTTATAATGGAAAAACAAGCTCACTAACAGTGGTCAACTAAATCAATTAAGCAAATTGGAAATGAAAACACAACTGAACACAACCAAGTCACCAATATAAATAAACACGTTTGGTTTAAGCCAAGACGCCATGACACCCCCCCAAAATCAATATTCACCTGTCATTTACACTCCCACCACCTACCCCACCACCCGACTGCAGCGCCACGCGGACGTGGTTGATTGATCCTTGACCTGCGCATACCAGTTTCCCACCCCTGGCCTGCTATTCGAGATCGCTATCGAAATTCTAAATGAAGTTAGGAACAAGTTTATGAAGATGGGGATCTTCACCTATTTATAAATGCAGCCAAAAAAAAAAAAATAGGTACCAACCGAAATAAAAAGGGGCCATTTTTAACATTTCAATAAAAAAAATGGTAAAATAAATTAATGTTCTATATTATTATAATTATGGAGTGATTCTCTACTGTCCTTCAATGACAACGATTAACATGATAGGTAAAGAACAAGGAGCGCAACAAACAATTTTTAAGTTTACAGAAGCTCTGCAAATGCTACTTGCAGCTGCAAATAAACTGTTGCAAAAGAGAAACATGGTATTACAGGAACGTGTTTTCACTTTTTGCGTCTGCAAATTATCTGTAACTTTGCAGGAAGTTAAAACATCCTATAAACTTGCAGATTGTCAATTTTTACTTGACTTTCTTTTTTAATAACCATGAAGTCTTCTGTTCCTTTTGACTGAATACAGTTCGTGGTGTCAAATTAACGAGTTTTTAAACATAGCAATTGATTTGAGTTTAGTATCTGCAAAGTTGCCGCCATATTTGCAGATGTTCTGTAATCTCACCCTTAGTCTGGACCTTCAGATACGGGGGCTGAGGTACGAATCCTATCATGGCTTTTTTATATAATTAATACTATTTAGGTGACTTGTCATTATGACTAACTCTTTATAGAAGTTCTCATGCCGAAATTCACTTGGATATTGTCAGTATCATATGGGCAGATGAGATATTTTCATGTAACTCCAGAGGTCCTTCGACTCATAATATTTAATTGGTTTGCTAATTTAAAACATCCAGACATACTGTAATTTGCGTTGGCGAGATATTAAAGGTGGGCCAATATTTGCGTTGTTGTTTAGGCCAAGGGGGAGTCCGGACCTCCTAACCCCCCCCCCCCTTATTAACGTCGGTAATTTTGAATAGTCGTGTTACGAAGAGGTGATCTCTAACATCCTGCAACAAGCCCTAAATACGATCAACAGATGGCGCATGCAAGGGGGAGCAATATATTTTAACCCCCGTAAAACTGTTATCGTCCATTTCACCAAAAGATTCGACCACCTTCAACAACTTACCTTGGCAAGTGAAATCATTCCTTTAGAGGAGGATGTAAAATATCTAAAGATTATCCTAGATAAGAAACTCGCCTGCAAAATCTCCAATTGGAAAAACCATCAACAAAGCTAGCTTATCCCTCTGGGCCCTTCTAGAAAGATATGCAGCAAATCATGGGACATCAGTGTTCAATTGATTTATTGGATTTACCAAACCGTGATAAAACCTATGGTTAGGCAAGTACGGCTCTGTCGTCTGGTGGGACAAGGGACTTCATTCAACGGACGGCCAGAGCAAAGCTGGATGGAATCTAGCTGCTTGCGTACCTCGCCATCATTGGGACAATGTCAACTACATCTAACGGAACCAGAAAGGTACCGAATCCGAGTTCATAGGACCAGAACCATTTCTGGGCATTGCAAAGAGCACTGCCAAAGGAATAATCTCAAAATGGACGGAGAGGTACTTCGGGGCTAACTCATTTGAAAGCGTTTATAACCAACCCTTCCATGAACGCCTCTGCTCAGATCGGGTAATGGAGTAGTAAATATCTATGCATTCTCAGGGGACTGATGACAGGACATTATTGTCTAGGTAAAACCACATAAGGATAGGGATGCAATAAACATCGATTCTGCAGTGTGGAAGATTTTCATGGCCTTCACCAAAAGGTGTGGCTTGTACGGTGAACTATAAGTTAGACATGAGCCATATTAGATCCATCTGGGTCGCAGAGGAAGGCGATGAGATCATCACACTCATTTTCAATATAACCTAAGTTTTAAGAAATTGAAAGTATCTTGGAATTATATCAGCAATAGCGCAAATAATCCTACATGAACATATATTCATCTGCGACGGCGGAGGTTTGTGTTGGATGCCGCATTTACCATCAGAGGCGAATAAAGAAATCGGGGTGAAATGGTGTCGTGTCGATATTTGGGGTTTTCCCCATCTGTAAATCAAATAACACCATCTAACTCCGATAAATAATAATAGCTGTCTCTCCACCACACAAACTCTCTTACTTACCTGGAAATCATTTGCATTTTTTTATACTGGGTACAAAAATCGCTATATACAAAGTAGTCGTCTTGATATAAAGTCGTACTAGATAATGGTTCGTTATCCAGGAAGATCGTCTATGTATGAATGTACATTATTCCAATAAGAATAAAAATTCGTACCACAAATGTAAAAAAATTATGTAAGAAAGTATAGTTGTATTAAACTGATTCCACATCAAGAAAGACAGACATGGTGGACTGAATATGCGGTGGAATACCTCAGTGTTGTGGTCTGCTAAGCTATGAATGGAGTTGAAAGTAGCCGGTGGTAAGTCATTCTATTTTATGCGTTTAGCAAAATTCTAAAATGATTAAATGCTATTGGGTAAGGATATAACTGCATGTTTAAAAACTCTAAAATGAGTAGGGTCACCAGAGGTCCCATTTTTCCCGGACATAGTCTCTTTTTAGATACGAAGTATATATTTTTGAAA